GCGACACTCCTGCAGAGGCAGGGGTTGACAGTCTGGATCAGAGGTCGGCAAACCTGCGGCTCCGTAGCCGCAAGCGGGTCTTCATAGACTGCTTCGTGACGTAATCCACGTATTTATATATGTATGTATTCATAAGCATTGCGGCTCTTGAAATATTGAGTTTTGTACCAAATTCGAAAAAAAAAGTCAGTCTGTTATTTTGGTTTGCCGGCCCCTGGTCTGGACGGAGGCGTCCGGACGCGTCCATGCAGCGCGTGGACGCGTCCATGCAGTGCGCGTTCTTGCCACAGACGTCTGGGTGAAAAGCAAATGGAAGCAGCACTCTTTTGTGCATCATATTTCTGAGCTCCGTCAGCCTCAAGATCCGATGCGATCGTATTTGTCGAGCCACCCGTCCCATGGAAGCGAGACCTGAACTGGCCATAGGACGGCAGTCCAGAGGGCAAATGCCCGGGTGGGCCCGGTCCATTCCGAGGGCCGGTGGGCCGGTCTGTCGTGGGGAAATTGCAAATGTGATCAGAGTATTTTTTGGTTATATATTTTTTTTATTAACAATGCTGTTACCTGTGTGCGCGTCATCCCTTATATTTACACTCTTAGTTGATGTTAAGTCCCCGTATTCGGCAGCAACCAAAGATTCTTTCTCACCGGCCAATTTATTTGTGGACCCGGTCCAAATTGGCAAATCGGATCGCACAGCAAAATCACGCTCACATGTCATCACATCGAAAATCTAGCGACTAGAGCTACACAGTTTGTCATCCCACAACCCATTTTAACAACAAAAAAGTCCCATAGCTCGAATTTGGGGCGGTGTGTTTACAAATGCCTGAGCCAATGTTTTGATTCAGTCCGTCACCGCACGGGAGCGAAGCGATAACGTAACTGTGAGCGGCGTTCCACCCACCTTGCCTCTGGCAGGAACTGCAGGAGATGCTGGAGCGACACCGCAGTCAGAATGAGGCGTGGCTCAAAGCACGTGCGGCAGAGAACGACGCCGAGCGGCGGCAGCTGTGCACCGTCAAGGTGCCCATGTGTCTGTGCGTGTGTATGTGTATATACGTGGGGAGCGGTGGTGTAGCGGTTAGCACAATTCGCTACGAACCTGGCGTCCCGAGTTCAATTTCTGCTCATGGCCGACACCGGTGACGATTATCTAAACCGGTCCTGGGCCTCCCCTAGGTCGACTAAGCCTAAAATGAGTACCGGGTGCGGTGTGTAGTAAACATCGCCACTGGGGAGGCTAAGGCGGCCGAGCGTGGTGCTGGCCACTCACTCCCCCGTGTACCGTGCCGGCCTTCATAGGTGCTCGCTAACAGCACTTGCCCAACCTTGTTAAGGCTATACAGGGGATCTTTGTCTTTGTCTGTCTGTGTATATCATGTCTCTGTGTATATGTATATACACGTGTGTCTGTGTGTGTGGTTCGGTGCTTGCTAACAGCACTTGCCCCAAAAGTCTGTGGAGGCTATACTGGGGGATCTTTGTCTTTGTGTGCGTGTGTGGACAGCGCTGGATTATCCTACAAAAATTGAAAGGCCGACGAAAACAAAAATGTTACCATGTTTTTTTGTTTGTATGTATGATAAAAAAAAAATGTTACCATGATATCTTCAATAAATGTATTTATATAGCAAGGATAGGCACAGTGTATATACAAAGAGGCAAAGTTCATGAGGTGAGAGAGGAATTAAAAGCGGAGATGAATTTTTCGAGATTGTTTTTATTGCAAAATTAGCAATAACATCTTCAAGTGGTGTATTTCGCGCAATCTCATTCTCAATAGAGTAGTGCGAGGGGAAGACAAGCGTTGTTGTCCTATGGTTGATCGGAGACAGTTTTTAAAAAAATCAGCTTTAGCTTAGAAAAAGAACACTTCCCTTCACAATTCGAAGTCTGCGTGAAACCAGCGCAGTGACAGCGGCGGTAGCAGCATGGGGCAGCAGCAGCAGCAGCAGTACCAACTCTAGAGAGTGATCACTGAAGGCCCACGAAACAGAAGTGCCTAGGGCCGAAAAGAACCTCAATCCGGCCGTGTGTGTGGGGAGAGGGAGTGTAGCGGGAAGCGCACTTCGCTACGAACCTGGCAACCCAGGTTCGATTCCCGCTCGCGTCCAACACCGGTGACAATTATCTTAACCAGTCCTGGGCCTCCCCTAGGTTGACACAGCCTCAAATGAGTATCCGGTGTGGTGTGTACATATTGCTACTAGGGAGACAAAGGATGGCCGATTGTGGTGTTGGCCATTTACCCCCTTTTGCCATGCCGCCTTCATAGGTACTCGCTAACAGCACTTGCCCCGAGTCTGTTTAAGGCTATATTGGGGTATCTTTGTATTTGTGTGGCCATGTGACCTGCAATATTAACTCAACTAGTTATTCCAATTCCCAGCCTCAGCTAACATCAGTGGTCACGAGTGATATCTGACCCGCATCTGGAATTTCCCCAGTCTGACTAAATGGCGCACCTGGTGCGACGTACAAGCATATAGAAAGGGGGAGATAAGGGCGGCCAGGTGTTGTGCTAGCCACACAACCTCTACACCTCACACATCATCATCACCAACCACGATCAATCCACAGTTGGGAGGCAGTGTATACAGTGTTCCCCATCGCAACCCCCTCAATCAGCACCGGGGCCTTCCCGAGGAAGCTAATGATCTGACCAGTGATGACCTCCAAACTCTATGAATCACGGTGTCAAACGCAGACGCTGAATTAATAAATAATCAACGTCAGGACGAAGGCCTCCCTGAGTCGCCGCAATCCTTGATGATCCCCCGATGAGATGCAACAGCCCCAACTGCCGAAGCGGACGAATAACTGGAATAAAATAGCTTTATCGGTACGGCGGCTCCCACAAGGCCATGCGAGAGGGCGTGTGGCACCAGTCTGGTGCCAGCTATCATAGAGTGCGGAATTCGTGTCGCTACACTTCTCTACGGTGAGTACAATGTCTTTAAAAACAACGGCGCTACGCCTCCCTAAATAAAATTAATGGTGAACCGCTTGCGTGTTCCGAGATCCAGCAGTGAACGGGACCCACACCCTGCAACTTACAGTCGTCTCGGAAAGGGAAAAGGTGAAAAGTCCACACGGGGGACCTTTGTCTTTTGTGCAGGATGATCTGGTGGTGCAGCAAGCCCAGCTGCGGGAGCAGGAGGCGGCTCTGAACAAGCGAGCACTGCAGCTCTCGGCCATAATGCAGCAGTTTAAGGGCATGTGACGCAACACTCCCTGCATGTAGTTGGCCTGGAGGTCCTGCAGCGCAACAGGCAGCCGGATCATCACTCCTGCGATGACGTCGGCCCCCTACGGAATTATACATTTGATTAAAGAGCAACCGGCGAGCAAAGCAACGTGGCGAGCGGCCTGATAATCGATTACTAACGCCGTTAACCATCCTCGGGACGAATTGCTCAATTAACCCATCCTCAAGACCGGTTACCAAATTAAACCGTGGTCCTGGAACCCAATCATGCAATCAAACTCGCAACTGATCAAGCAACCAGCAATGAGCAGTTTATAAATTAACCAGCCTCATAGATGATTGCTTAATCAAGCAACGACCTTGATAAGCAATCAGAATAACAATAAGTATGCTAAAGTGCTAATTAACCACCCCATGAATTTATCTGCCTTATAACTAGGCTTCCAAGTAGCAATCTACACAGGAAACTTGCCTACCAATTAACTTACCCAATTTCAAGTTACCAAGCCTGAAAACACATCGGTTATCCAACTTGCAATGACCTTATGCAATGCGTCATTTTTTTACACCGTAACAAATTCTGCCAACTGCACCAGTCTGTACCATTTGCTGAGTGGACACTTTTTGGGCCATGCCATTTGTTAACTGGTAGGAGGGGGGTGGGGGGGGTTAAAGACCTTGACAGAAGGCACAGATTATATAACGCCCGGCAATTTATCCGATAATCATGCACGGTGGTACTTTAAACACGTTAATATTAGTAATTTTTATCTGTATGAATTCAAGGAAAAATTAACGTATTTTAAGAATGTCTAAATCACGTTGAGCGATGGCATTAAATGATCCGAGTGTTCCTTCCCCAAAAAAAGACGAATACCTGGTCTAAAAGTTTGTGTTGTGTGACAAAATAAATAACGTTTGTTGCTTTCATGAATGAGCAGTTGTAAAATTATAAAAATATATTTAAGGTATTACCAACAGCAGTCACTTTCATTTACAATGTTGTAAAGAAACATTCTGTAGCAATATCTTGGATGGCTTAAATAAAACTAAAAGCCATCACTTTCATCGAAAACGATGTGACGGTACTTTTGAAATTCGTTTTGCCGGGCGCATTTAAATCCACGTCTCCCTCGCGAACAAAAGGCAACCTCTAGAAGTGTGAACGACTGAAAACGCCGCTTGACGGGATGTTTCGGAGAGAAGGTGCTGCGGGAGAGATCTCTCCCACACCGCTCCGTGACATTTCCAAATGGATTCTTTGTTTCATGAATGTGCCGATCGTGAAATGTGAACACGTTTGTTGGGGGAGGGGTGATATCAAAAGATAAAACAACACACGTAATAAATACAATTTAATCCTGGTGTCCCCATTTTCATCTAACGGTGTCATCCACGTAACCGAGGGTTGATGTCCATGGTAGAAGCTTTCCATCTTTCAGGATCTTCAACATCTCTCACCAAGAGACCCGTCCAACTGCTCACATTTTGTATGCTCTTCCCCTATATTCTCCCTTGCAGGATTGTTAATCGTCTCCAGCTGTGGCCCACTTAGGACATCCTGCAAATGCCACCTTATGACACCAGCTTACGCGATCAATTCGTCTGCAGCGCCAACATCTCAAAACGCAATTTAGTCTTTTCATCTCGTGACCCTGCGCAAGCGTCGATGTGTCATCTGCACACCCCACGAGATTCCACACACTGAAGCCTTCAGCATCTTCATCCTCGCTTGCCACGGATAAAATAAACAAGACCAGGCGATGATCAAAGGAGGCACACGCAGCAACAGATTCAAACACTATAATTTTCCACACCAACAAAACACTAGCACTCCCCGTGACCTCAAAAGGTCATTCGCACATTGTTGTTATCTGTTTACATTATAAAACATCATTTACTTATTTGTTCTGCACATTATATATATGTCTTTTTTTAAAGTAATTTAATAACTTATCCCTTTTCTTAATAACAATACATCTTCATATTTATTCCGTCTGTTAACTTTTAATTGTTTCAACCAGTTAAGGTACGACATGCTGGACAGAATAAGACACAAAACGCGTATGATGAATAGCTGCAGGGCACACGCCAAGGGGAACCGGGCAGCGGGCGGAAGGAAAGACGTCGCACGTAAACACGGGGCATTTCCGTCAATTTTTGCCACCGTTTAAAAATGCCGTACCTTCTCATCCATGCAAGCTACCGTTAACCCTTTCCCGTTGCGAGACGTCTGCAAGTCGCAGGGTGTGGGTGTCCCGTTCACCGCCGAAGCTCGGAACTCGCAAGCGGCTCGGCGTTAATTTGATTTAGAGAGGCGTAGCGTCGTCGTTTTTAAAGACGTTGTACTCACCACAGAGAACCGAAGTGACACGACCGCACTCTATGACAGCTGGCGTCAAAACTGGTGCCACACGCCCTCGATAAAAGTAATTTTATATTCTTTCTTCCGGTCCCGTTCTGATGACGTACGTGTACGTGATCGGAACGGGACCGGACATGGAAAGGGTTAAGCAGTACACACTTCAATTCTTTTCACTTCACACTGCATTTGATAGCCCCTAGCTTGATATAAATCTCCGTTGCAACATGCCAGACAGCAGATTGGCACTTGTACGTATGTATGGTTGTATATGGTGAACTTCTTTTGCACGGTACGTAGCCAACCGTGCTAATCGGAGCTGTGGGGGGAAGGACAACAAACAAAAAGTCGTGGAGCGTTTTGATCGCGAGGACATCTCCAATCAGTACAATTACTTGTTGCTTCTATACAACAGCGCTGTCCAAGGAGAACATCCCAGGTTGCTTTACAATGACAATAATTAGAACCATTGGCCAAATAAGCCCAGCTTATGGATCAGCTAACGTAATCAAATATCCATAAGAGGTTTTTGGGTTAAATCGCGTAAATATTAAACCTGCTACCACCCGACACAGCCAACTAGTAAGGTTTGTCACGTAAATAAAACATGCCAATTCGTGAAGAGTACAGCACACCGGTGTGTTGGAGAGTAAACCCACAACATATACAATTTGTAACGAATTGGCATGTTTTGTTCACGTGAGAAACCTTACTAACTGGCTGTGTTGGGTGGTGGTGGGTTTAAAGACACAATGTTTACGCGATCTAACCCAAAAAACTCTTATGGATAATATTAGTCGCGAAAGCCTACGCAGTAAAATATGTTTCTAAATGTCGCTTAGAAGATTCGACTGTTGCCTGCATTCCTGATACGACTTGGGATGGAGTTCCAGAGGCTGGGAGCATGGAAACTACTAGCCCTGGCCTCTCGTCATTTTAAATGACTTCCAGGAACCCAAAAAAAAGTTTAGCACTCTCCTAATCTCAAGGTGCAATCGACTCGGAGCATAAGCTTAGCGTCTTGCAAGTAGTATTCAAGGGTTCTCATGCACCAAGCAGAAAGTCAATTCGTGAACTGAAGTGTCTGCAATAATGTCATTGTAGAGTGATTGGAGATTCGCATTCCAATAACCACTCCAAAACTTTAACCTTTTGCTCAAGTGTCAGTCTACTGTCTAACATGTTATGGCAATAATGACGACTAAAACTCTAAAGTGTGTCCACTTTATCAAATCAGTCCTTTTGGTGTTCACACCACTCTTATAGCGCAAGGCAGTCATGAAGGAGCTATGCTTCAGACGATTATAGAGGCTTATGGGGCATTTTCCCACCGCTTTTTCTTGCTCGAGGTTAAAGTTCCCAAGGTTATTTGTGTAACCACGCGGGGAACTTTATAAACCGGCACATCGTCTCACCTGCGAGCGTGACCTGGCTCGCCAAAATGACAAAAAGCAAATCAAGCACGGCAATGAAGCAAATAGAAATCAGACACACAAACAACTGCGTCCCACGCTTAAACGTCCCCCGCGGTGCAAGTCGGTTTGGGCAGATTGTTTTGGAGGACGAACCGATGCTCGGGGGAAGCCCAGGCGCTGCAGCGTCCCCCCATCGGCGCCGGTCGCCCGAGAAAACTATTCACCTCGTCAAGGTGGCAGATAAATGGCAGCGACGAGGGGAGGAGGAGGGGGAGAACAGCGGCATGACATCGACGGGGCCCCACACTCCGTCCCCTCTCAACCACCTGCCATTGTCTGCGGTCGAGAATACGGATGTCAAGGTCTGCTCGGGCCAGATCCGGACGCACCGATGATTATCGCCGGATGATGCGAGTCTATGGGTCTCCTTTATGGGTCTTTGTGCAAGTCTGTGGGTCTCTGCGTGACCCTATGGAGGAGCAGCAGTGGTAGCGGTTAGCGCGCTTCGCTACGAGCCCGGCGACCCGGGTCCCATGCCCGCTCACGGCTAACACCGGTGATGATTACCTCAACCGGTCCTGAATCTCCCCAAGGTCTACTCAGCCTCAAATGAGTACCTGGTGCGGTGTCTAAATATCGCTACCGGGGAGATACAAAGGCGGTCGGACGTGCTGCTGGCCACCCACCCCCTCGTGTACCGTTCCGACCTTCATAGGTGCTCGCTAACAGCACTTGCCCCAACAGTCTGTTAAGTCTATACGGGGGATATTTGTCTTCATCTTTGACTCTATGGGTTTCTGTGTGAACCTTTGTCCACTTTGAGTGATCTCCAAAGTCGCGAGTGGGATTCCCACGTTCTGCCTGGCAGCCTCATTCTGCCTGGAAGCACAGCTGCATTCATAACCCAGACACAGATTTATAGCCACAACTCAATCCCTATCCATACGAAAGGGGGACCAAAATCCTCAATCGTAGATGCAACATAACCTCTTAAGTGCATTGTATGCACAGCTGTCAATTATTTGTGATAACTTCGCTTGCGAATTGCATTTGGCGCACAGCCCGTCTGTTTACATATTGGTGCGATAGTCACTCAACGTCTGCTTAATGTTTCGAACATAAATTGTACAACGATCAGTTTCAAAATCATCTGCCCGTGGAGACGTTGCGCTACAGGCAAATTAATAATCAGTGATTTATGATCGTGCAATATTTTCCAGTTCCCATGTGATATTTTTTTTGCTCAGATTTCTAAATGGCTTCACTACGGTACTTTATTTGTTCAGCTCTCACAAGACTGGCCGGGGCCACCGCAACAGGACTTAACCCGGTCTCTCAAGTTCTCGCCTGGTTAAACCAAATAAACTCGGCAGGTTGGCAGTAGTAGTAGCTGTACATTCGGAGGCGATCTTGCCTCCGTTTTCTCACAATCGAGTCGTTGGCGGACAATTTTTAAGTCACGGCAAAGAGTTCGGGCTGTGACGCCAGCAGAAACGGCGGAAACTCCCTTTTAGCAAAAACGCCGCAGCATCTTTAACATCCATCGCCAAGTGTACAGCGCGTATATTTCATCGTTGATACACCCGAAATGTTGACCAGGGCGGCCACGGGGTTTCGAACCTCAAATCTCTGCAACAAGAGGGAAATGCACCAACGCACGGGCTTTCGTCGTCGTCGCATGGCTGCTGCTGCCGCTGCTGCCGCTGCTGCTGCTGTTGATAGAGAGATGTAGAGCAAACAACCGTGACTTCACATTGGGACGGTCGATCGACGGGCACCGGCAATTGTTTGCGTCCGTCAAGAGGTAGCGGAGGAATTAACGACGAGCGGTCGCAGTAGCTTTCACGTTTTAGAACTCGCGAACCGAAATTCCCTGTGCGCGACGAAAACAAAAACCCTGCCGAAAAGAGCGCTTTGCTCGCGACGAGCCGCAAGGCAATGCCTGGACGTACGGTGACGGGCAAAGGGGGTCGCTTGTCTGACAAAGAGCTACAGAGCTCAGTGGGCCTTAGCTGGTGAAATAAAAATCGGTAAAGTTATTATTATTTCTCACGGTTAAGCCCCCCTGTAATGTACAGCTCTCGTTCGAGGGCGACTGCCAGGAGAGAACAGCGGTTCCCGAGCCAGTGTTTCCACATTCTTATGGCAGGACCCGAGTCGTCCTTTGCTGAACATAATTACAACCACCAACTTCCTACTTGATGCTGTTCATATTAGAAACCTAAGATGGTTGGTGATGATAATGATGATCCAACCCTGGCGAGGAGATGAACTCACCAACTCGCGATTGGGAATGCTGCCGCGCTCCACCAACAGTGCTACCATATAAACCAGACTTTGCACAATAAGCGAAATTAACTATCGATGGCAAAGGTGCAGGCCTGCAATTGCTTGCTCACAGCACTGCTATCAGAACGGTCTCCCACTGGAGAACTCGTAGAACCCCTCTCTCTCAACGAATGTGTGGCCTGTTCTTTGACGGTGGCCTCGGAAGAGGTGGAGTGCCCCACACGTTACCTCACAACACGTGAGCTGGTGATCGTCTAACTACCGGTGTGCACATGTTTGTACTGCTGGGTGGAGGACATTGTGTTCGACTGCCACTCCAGGAGGCTGAATCGTCCACCTCTGGATTGCAAGTCCCGTGCGGCAGCCCCAAAAAAATAATTATAACACTATGTAATAACCATCATTAATGAATTTAAACACAATCATTCAGAAGATTGTCATCTCTTGAAAGCCTTTGCGACGGCGGACGCCGCCTGTGAGCCGAGTCGGAAATTCAACTCCGTGGGCCAAACCGCCTGCAGGGTAATACTCGTCGTGCGTGCGGATGACATCATGGACATTTATTTGAGAGGTGGTACGTCATGGAGTGGGGGATCCAAGCACCTGGTCGCGGACGAACACTGGCGATCACCGCAACGACAAAGGCCTCCTTTCTCTCGCCGGCGTTACTCCGCTTTAAAACTCACTTCATCACAACGTCCACAGCAAAGCTTGCCACAACACTTCAAACTCGGTCCGCTATTTAAATAAAAGAAAAAAAGCAAATACATTTTTTTTTGGTGTTCGTTTTGTATTTTTTTTTTTCCCCCCCCCCCACCACCAATTCGGCACCGGCCGTTGCCGCTTGCCGACGGACCGTTTGTTCTGCTTCAGATAAATACCGCGTCGGTCACAGCTTCAACAAAACGCGATCAACCGGTCGAGGAGACGAGAGGGCAACTTAAGCATACGGAGACGCGTCGGAGCGCGCCGGACGCTGCGCGCACGACTGCTCCGCGCGTGCGCGAGTAACGCGCCGTCATTTGTGCGCGCGTGTCTTTGCGTCTGTACGGCACGCAGCGGGGAGTGTTCGAGTGATGCAGTGGTTAGCGCGCCGCGCTACAGCAAAAAAAACAACAACCCGAGCTCGACTGTTCGCTCACGACTAACGTCAGTGGCAAATGTCTGAACCGGTTCTGGGCCTAGGACTGCGTTGATGCTCAGCTCGATGCGAGTAGCTGGCGCGGTGTGTGAAACACCATCGCACTGGGCAGCCGGGCGCTGATCACATGACCACCCCTCCCACATACGACACCCACCACCCCCCCCCCCCCCCCCTTGTGCCGTGCCATCCTTCGTTCACGTGCTCGTTAACAGCACTTGCCCCAAGAGTCCGTGCGGCTACACACGGTGGGGCTTTTGTTCTCTGTACCGTATCAAGTGTGGTGTGGCAGTCGCTTAAGCAGCACCGTGCTACCAACCCGACAACTTCAACAACTTGGAACGGGGGGGGGGGGGGTGTCAAACTGCTGCTGACGGCGCGCACGCAAATCACAGCGGTGCCGCTATCAAACGTGCGGGTCGTGCAACTGCACGGAGAGGCCCATTCGCTGGAGAGGGTTACGAAGATTGAGATGGGGGGGGGGGGGGAAGTTTTGAACAAGGGTGCGGTAGGGGGGGGGGCCCTCCACGCTACACCAGTGCATCATCATCAGAAGCAGCAGGAGCAGCACTTGTATCTAAGCATGGCCTATCGAGCTTGACTCGCCCTTCAAGTTGAGGTGGTGCTGGGAGACGCCAAGGTGGCCAGGTACACGTTGTGCTGACTTCACCACCACCCCACGACCCCCCCTCCCCGGCCCCTGTTGCCTCGTGCGCCGTGCCGGCCTTCATGGGTGCTCACGAACAGCAGCACGCTTCCCAACAGCCCGCAAGGCTACGTGGGGCACGGGGAGATTTCACAGGCTTGGTGTACGTATAATCCGCTCGTACACGTGTGTTTTTGATCCCTGGCACGTTTGCATATGCTCGGGCAATTATATACTGAATATGTAGTATACGCTTTACTGTAAATGCGTACGCGCGTGTGTGTGTGTGTGTGCGCGCGTGCGTTGGCATAAGCGAGTACGCGCGTGTGCGTGCTCGTGTGTTGGTGCAAGCGAGCACACCTCTTGCGCGCTCTGCACCAGCGCAGCAGGGTAACGCCGAGCGTCGTGGCCGGCAGACCAAAATTACGGAGTGACGAGCACACGGAACAAACTTGGTGGTGGCGGTGGTGCCCAGAGGTCAGAGTTCACAGGTTGGGTGAGAGGAGCACGGGTTGATGGGAAGAGACGTTGAGTCTCCGTGACAACGAACGAGTCCTTAGCCGTCAGCCATGTACTTGCCTGGGTCACACACAGACACAAGACATTGGTGATGCTAATGATAATAATGATGGTAGTGATGATAATAATGATGGTGGTGATGATGGTGGTGGTGATGGCAGTCGCAGTCACCATATCTCTCCAGGATTTTCGTCCACTTATGCTCACCGTTAACTTCGGTAAACAAAAAAAAAACGCATTTCATCGACGAATATTCTCATCGCCGATGTTGCTAACGGAACGAACCCCAGTGGAGGGTGGGGGATTGGGGGTGGGGGCGGGGGCGGGGGGGGGGTGTGGGGGTTGGGGACGCACCGGTGGCGAAGCGCTTCTTGACGAGCGAGAGGCGGTAGCCGCCCCCGACAAGCTCAAACTCGACGCCCGACAGCGACGACCCCTCGCTCACAAACTGAGCGGCGAGCGTCGCGGGGACCGTGGGGCCGTCCGCCACCGAGAACTGCGCCTGCAGCATGCCCGAGCCTGAGCACGCACGCACAAGGTGCCACCATCGTCACCATCGTCACCATCGTCGTCATCGTCGTCACCATCGTCACCATCGTCACCATCGTCACCATCGTCACCATCGTCACCATCGTCGTCATCGTCGTCAACATCGTCATAATCGTCGTCACCATCGTCAACGTCGGCGTCATCGTCGTCACCATCGTCACCATCGTCAACGTCGTCGTCAACGTCGTCACCATCGTCAACGTCGTCACCATCGTCGTCAACATTGTCAACGTCGTCGTCAACATCGTCAACATCGTCAATATCGTCACCATCGTCAACGTCGTCACCATCGTCGCCAACATCGTTGCCATCATCGTTGCCGATGATGGCAACGATGTTTACACGCCGCGCCGGGTACTCATTTGACGCTCAGGGCCAGTTCAGATAATGGTCACTGGTGTTGGCCGTGAGCGGGAATTGAACTCGGGTCGCCGGGTTCGTAGCCCAGCGCTCTCACCGTGACACTACCCGCTCGCACACACATATTCATGCACACGTTCATACGCGTCCGCACACGCACGCATGCACGCACGTCATATGACGCGATACTGGACGCACAACTGGAACAAATTAGGGTGATTTTTAAAAATATATAATAATAATAATCGCGACACGGTCCTCACCTCCGCCTTCTGATTTTTCGGAGATTTCTGGAATCTTCCAAAGCACCCAGTTCTGCTCCGCATTCCTGCCGACAAAGATCAGAAATTAATGGTTAAAAAAAACCGAGCAAAACGGATCGGATGCGACAGTTCCACAGTGACGCACCTCCGATCAGCACGGTCGGCTACGTACAGTGGGAATGAAGTTCAACACACACGCGTATACTTTCACAGGAACCTCTTTCTCTGCGCTGGGGGTGGATGTCTCGTGCTCCATCCCTGTGGGATCCGTAAAACCGTGCCCTCCGAGTATCTAGGCGGACGGGCGCTCGTCGCCACGGCTGCTCATCGTCAGCATCACCGTCGACCTCCCGTCCAGCGGCACCCGTGCGATCCGATTGGTCAAGTGAATGGACCGGCGATTGATGAGTAATCCATCGCATAAAAATATTCAGATAGCCCGACTCTACTTAACAATTGACCTCCTACAACCCCCTTAATCCATCTCCTCTCAACAAAAACCCAGCTTTGTGGACATTGATCTATTGAGGGCTGTCACATTACTCAGGACCACCCCCCCTCTCATAGCTGAGCCATGCGATCACGGGGAGAGAGACATGCAAACTCCAAATATACAGGCGTCTTGGGGTCAGGATTGAACCCAAGACCTCCTGCATACCGGGCGAGGTAGTTCACATCTCACCACCGTGGCGCGATTCGGTGGTTGGAGGAGGGGTGGGGGGGGAGGTGCCGTGCTGGCACGGCTCGCGTGCGCCGGTGGAAAAAGGTGGGAACCAGGCCGGTCCTCCACACGGCGTTTGGGGCGGGCCGAGTCTCACCAGGTGGCGGGGGGAGTGGCCTGCATGTCTGTGGCCCCGCCCCCGACGGGGGTCACGACCTGCAGGTTGGTGATGGGGGAGGGCGAGGCCATGGCGGAGCCGTTGTAGCGGAACGCCACTCGCAGGCTCGTGCGCGCATCCTCGCAGCGCCAGCGCGGCTCCAGCAGCAGCGGAGCCGCGTCCGCTCCTCCTGCGGACACCTGGGGGCAGGAGGAGGAGGAGAAGGGGATGAGGATGGGGAGAAGCGGAGACAGAGGATGGGGAGAAAGGGGAGGAGGATGGAGAGAGGGGGAAGAGGATGATAGGCACAGGGGATGCAGGGGGAGGAGATGCAGCAGTCACGAGGAGCGACGCATGGTGAGTACACACGTGGGGGGGGGGGGGGGGGGGGGGGGGGGGGTAGGCATAGCAGTAACAAAACCACCCATCCACAATGGCCATCATTCCAATCCGCCCACCCCACGACTCAACTCCACCACCACCCCCTGCCCACACCTGGTACTTGAGGATGTCCACGTTGTAGTAGGTGGCGGAAGGACTCTGCTCCGACAGCTTCTTGAGGTAGGAGCACAGCGCGGGCATGTTCAGCCAGAAGTCTCGCGTCTCCGAGTCGCTCTGCGAGAGGTCACTGCATGAATGAAAGCACGCACGCACGAACGCACGCACGCGGTCAAAGACCCGACATTGATCCCTAGGGAGAATCAATCTTAGCGAGTGCCTACTAAGGCCAGCCCAGAACGCTGGCGGATGCACCCGCCAACTCGGCTGCGTTTGAGCCACCTGGCCGCTCCGCTCCTCGGGTCCCTCCACGTTTATAAAACGTGCGTTCAAGAGAATTCGTGTAAGGGCATTCGGCCGCGATACATTTACACACGGTGAGCCACTTTGGGCGAGCTATCGTTTGTGGCCAGGTCGCTCAGTGGGAACTTACCTGGTAAGATAAAATAGTTTAATAGTGCAACACACACACGGTAGCATACGCGTACGCACGCGTACACACGAGTACACACGAGTACGCACGAGTACACACGCGTACACACGCGATGCCATCGCGGCCTTCACAACCCCAACCCCGGGTGGGGCTACATTCCCTGTGCTCTCTCGGCGGACGCTCATTTTAAGCCGAGGCGACCTAGAGAGAGGGGGGTGGGGGTTGGCGGGGGGTACAGGGGCTACGGGGGGGGGGGGGGGTACGGGGGGGGGGGGGGGGGGTACGGGGGCCTCGCCTGTAGAGGAGCTGCGGGTTTGGCAGCAGCTGCTCGAGGCGGGCCGAGTTGCGCAGGCGGAAGCTGAGCACGGCCGGGGAGGGGTTCCCGGAGAAAACCTTCGTGATGCCAGAGGGGAACGAGAGGGTGAGCTCACCCGTGATCTTCACCATGCACCTGGGGTGGCATGGGCGGCGGAGGGGGTGGGGGGGGCGGGGAGTGGAGCAGAGTTATGATGATGGCGAGGATGATGGCGAGGATGATGGTAATGGTGAAGGTAATAACAACTGCTGTAGTGGTGAGAAAAGCAATCGTTATGGTGTGAAGACCGCAGCGATGATGGTGGCGGTGGGATTGACGGTCGTCGACGGTATGATGGCAATGACGGCGGTGGGACTGATGATTGCAGAAGTTATGACGATGGCGATGATTTGACAATGGCGGCGATGTTGACGACGATGGTGACGACGATGGCGACGACGGCAACGATGATGGCAACGATGTTGGAGACGATGTTGGAGACGATGGTGACGACGTTGACGATGGTGACGACGATGTTGACGATGTTGACGACGACGGTGATGACGTTGACGATGTTGACGACGTTGACTACGACGTTCACAATGGTGACGACGATGACGCCGACGTTGACGATGGTGACGACGATGATGACAATATTAACGACGATGACGACGATGGTGACGATGTTGACGATGTTGACGACGATGTTGACTAAGGCGACGGTACGCACTGCTCGGCGGCACGGAAGTAGGCGTTGACGGTCTCGGTGAAGGCGGCGGCCACGGGCAGCGTGTCGTGGGCACCGAGTGTGAGCGGGCTGGGGCCCCGGGACGCTCCTGCTCACCGCCGCCACCATCACCACCACAACCGCCATCAACAACAGCCACCAACAACAGCCACCAACAACAGCCACCAACAACCGCCACCAACAACCGCCACCAACAACAGCCACCAACAACAGCCACCAACAACATCCACCAACAACCGCCACCAACAACCGCCACCAACAACCGCCACCAACAACAGCCACCAACAACCGCCACCAACAACAGCCACCAACAACAGCCACCAACAACAGCCATCAACAACAGCCACCAACAACCGCCACCAACAACATCCACCAACAACCGCCACCAACAACCGCCACCAACAACCGCCACCAACAACAGCCACCAACAACCGCCACCAACAACAGCCACCAACAACAGCCACCAACAACAGCCATCAACAACAGCCACCAACAACCGCCACCAACAACCGCCACCAACAACAGCCACCAACAACCGCCACCAACAACCGCCACCAACAACCGCCACCAACAACAGCCACCAACAACATCCACCAACAACAGCCACCAACAACATCCACCAACAACCGCCACCAACAACAGCCACCAACAACAGCCATCAACAACAGCCACCAACAACCGCCACCAACAACCACCACCAACAACATCCACCAACAACCGCCACCAACAACCGCCACCAACAACAGCCACCAACAACATCCACCAACAACAGCCACCAACAACAGCCACCAACAACCGCCACCAACAACCGCCACGCCACACGATGATTCAGAGATCACAATCGACTCTTTAACGCTCACAATGCAGGCACGGGTAACAATCGATGGTTTTAAATCCCATGAAATAACACACGATCGCCTTCGTCCTCAGCGAATGGTGGGAATGAACGAGCAAGGCGGTACGCATCGCGCAGGCAGCAGAGATGAGACCGGCAGTAGCGACGAGACGGATCGCACAGCTGAGATGGTCAGCGCAGCCGGGGGTAAAGAGCGATGAGGAGACAGTGCGGAGAGTACCAGACAAAAGAGTACGAACAACACAGACGATATCAGAGAGAACAAGACAACACCAACGGGACCATGCGTTACAAACAAGGCCGTACGTATAATATGCACAGTTACAAATGGGACGGTCTGAACGAGACAGACCATGCCAATGAGACAGAACTCGCGAGGCTACACACACACACACACCACACGCGCGCGCTTTTGACGAAGGTGGGGTGGGTCACCTGAAGCCATGCAGAGGTCAAGCGTCGAGACTCGTGCACCCATGCGTCGGGGTCGCTCCTGCCTAATGCCCCCTTCACAACACCGCCCCCCACCCTCCCCGTGCGTGCCCTCCCGTCCGGACACTTACCCTCAAAGGTGAAATAAAACTTCCCCCTGTCAAACCAAACCATCTTGAGCTGATCAAAGTCTGGCAGAGCAGTGGGAATCAGGGAAGGGGGGGGGGGGAGAAGTTGGGGGTTAGGGGCGCGTGTAGGTTCAGAGGTCAGCGGGGGTGTGGGGCAGGGGGGAGCAGAAGGGGCAAGAGGGCAGCAGAGTTCACGGGGTCACAGGATTAGAGTCAGCCAGCCGAAGGTTGCGGAGAGAGGAAGGCTGGCCGGCTGGCAGCGTCACGTCCCGGTGAGTACGATGAATTAACCCTTCACGGTGGCCGAGCACAGGGGCCCCACGAACGCAAAAGCAGCCGCCGACAAACAGCACCCAACAGGCGAGCGTTGTCGTCTCACGGAGCCAGATTACGTTCCACGTAATGGGAAACATTGCTTTTAAAAATGTGACGACAGTTTAAATTCGCGCAGCAACGCGGTTGCTCTGCTCTGGTGTGATTTATATTTCCCCGCTGCGTTTCTGTTTAATTCCTCTTTTGCCGATTTTCGGACGCGGGGTCAACTCGTGCAGCATCAAAGAGCGTGCGTCGCCCTCGCGAGCTCTCCCCTCGTCACACGCAAAAAAAAAACTAAATCCCCTTCCCTACCCCACCTCGGGTACATCTGGGAGCCGCTGCGACCCTTCGTTTTAATGAGAACCACAATGTTGGCGGGACCCGGATCGCCTCTTATGCATCCCCACAGAACGAAACTCAAGCCCATGGGCAGCGATCTCTGGGCCTTCTCTCACGTGACACCCGCACAGTGGAACTCTCTGGGCCTTCAGTCACGTGACACCCGCACTGTGAGACTCTCTGGGCCTTCACTCACGTGACACCCGCACTGTGGAACTCTCTGGGCCTTCACTCACGTGACTCTCTGGGCCTTCACTCACATGACACCCGCACTGTAGAACTCTCTGGGCCTTCACTCACGTGACACCCGCACTGTGGGACTCTGGGCCTTCACTCACGTGACACCCGCACTGTGGAACTCTCTCGGCCTTCACTCACGTGACACCCGCACTGTGAGACTCTCTGGGCCTTCACTCACGTGACACCCGCACTGTGGAACTCTCTGGGCCTTCACTCACGTGACTCTCTGGGCCTTCACTCACGTGACACCCGCACTGTGAGACTCTCTGGGCCTTCACTCACGTGACACCCGCACTGTGGAACTCTCTGGGCCTTCACTCACGTGACTCTCTGGGCCTTCACTCACGTGACACCCGCACTGTAGAACTCTCTGGGCCTTCACTCACGTGACACCCGCACTGTGGGACTCTGGGCCTTCACTCACGTGACACCCGCACTGTGGAACTCTCTCGGCCTTCACTCACGTGACACCCGCACTGTGAGACTCTCTGGGCCTTCACTCACGTGACACCCCCACTGTGGGACTCTCTGGGCCTTCACTCACGTGACACCCCCACTGTGGGACTCTCTGGGCCTTCACTCACGTGACACCCGCACTGTGGAACTCTCTGGGTCTTCACTCACGTGACACCCGCACTGTGGATCCTGGGCCTTCACTCACGTGACACCCGCACTGTGGAACTCTCCGCCGGAGGCTCTCAGGGAGTCTGGTTCAGGTGGGAAGGACCACAAACTAAACACCCCCCCCCCCCAAAACCCTACCTGTTGACGGCAGGGCGTGGGCCCGACCGCTACCGATGAGGAGGCTTGTGTGTACGAGCGTGCGTACGTGCGAGTGTGTACGTGAATGCGTGTGTACGTGCGTGTATGTACATGCGTGTGTGTACGTGAGTACGTGCGAGCGTGTGTACGTGTGTGTGTACATGCGTGTGTACGTACGTGTGCGTACATACGAGTGTACGTACGTGTATGTACGTACGTGTGTGAACGAGCGCGCGATTGCGTGGGTTCCCGCGCGTCCGTGCACACGTGTATTTGCGCGTGCGAGGGCGTGCATGCATGTCGTGCACAACGTGTGGTGAACATGCAAGTGGGATGTGTGTGTGTGTGACAACATGTCCGGCAAAACAACCCCCTACCTCCTCGCGGTGCCGGACGGGCAACTCTGTCGTGGACAGTGCTGTGGGGGGAGGTCCAATTTCGATTGGCTCCTCCCCTCATGGCATCTGTGTCCACCACAGGGGCTAAACGGGGGCTCTGGACGGGTGCGAGGGGCTGGTAACCCCTCCACCTTCAATTAATTACCACTAAACTACAACTGAAATATATAACTAATAAGCTTGTGCCGGAGGCCCCAGGGGGCCAGGCGTCTATGACGTCTCCTGGCCAAACCCCAATTGGCGGTGCCAGGAGATTGAATATCTACCCTCGGGGCTCCTCCAGAAACAACGAAAAACCACTACGGGTGGCCACGTGGAATGTTCGAACGCTCACTGCGGAGGAGAAGCTGCCACTCCTCTGTCGGGAGCTGGACCGGTACCGCCTGGATCTCTGCGGAATTCAGGAGGTTCGGTGGACCGGTTCTGGCTCCTGCCACCATGAGGGGTGGACAGTCGTCTACTCGGGGCAGCAGACTGCCAAACAACAGGGTGTGGCTCTTCTTTTGAACAAAAGAATGAAGGGGGTGTGGGAGCGTGGCGGTGAGGTGTGGGAAGCTGTAAGCCCCAGGCTACTTTGGGCTCGCCTTCCCATCAACCGGAGGCGAGGAATGGTGGTCGTGGTTACTTATGCCTCCACCGAACATGAACATCCGTGGAGGGATGCAGGCAAAGCCGATGAGTCAGATGCCTTCTATGACCTCCTGTCACAGGTGCTGGCTAAAGTGGCCCCTCGGGATAGAGTCATCATGTTGGGTGACTTCAATGCCCGAGTTGGTCATGATGCTGGCACCTGGTCTGGAGTGATTGGAGGGCATGGGCCAGATCAGCTCAATAACAACGGTAGGAGGCTGCTAGATTTTTGTGCAGCCCATGGGCTTGTAATTTACCAACACGCTGTTCCGGCATCGGCGCATCCACACAACATCATGGATGCATGCCGGGTCCAAGCAAGAACATCTGCTGGACTACATAGTGAGGGACCAGCGGATGCGAGCCCATGTACTTGACACCAGGACCTACCGTGGAGCTGATCTGCCCTCTGACCATCGACTAGTCATCAGTAAGATGCGCTTGCCATTCTTCCACTCCGGTGGTGGGTGTACACCCAGGACCCCATTCCAACCTAAAGTGGCCTGGTCTCAGTTATCGGATGAAAGTTGCAAGCGAGAATTTCATCATCGCTTGCGGCTGGGATTGGCCTCGTCCCCGACTCCTCCCGATGTCGAGGTTAAATGGGCGAGGTTTAGGACTGTGACTCATGCAGCTGCAATGGCTGCTTTGGGTACGCGGTCCAGACCTCCCCAGAGACCCTAGCTGACAGAGGAGGTGTTCAGGATGGTTGAGAAAAAGCGACAGGCCCACTGTCATCGGCTACAGAATCCCACGTCAGAGAATGAGGAGGCTTACCGCAGCATTCGTTCATAGGTTCGGAGAGCCGTGAGGTGCTGCAAGGATGGGTGGTGATCGCGGGTTGCTGAGGAGATGGAGTCTGCCTCAGTGGCCCGTGATCCCAAATCTCTATTTAACTCCATCAAAAAAGTAACCTGCAGCGTCACACCTATTACCATCATTAGGGGAAAAAACGGTGATCCAATCTCCGACCCCCAGGAACAGGTTTGCAGATTTGCTGAGCATTTCTGTGAGCTCCTGGGGGAGGGAAAATCCCTCAGCCAGGAAAAAATCGTGGCACAAAGTGAGGATGACCCTGCTGAGGCTGCGGTGCCTCAAATATTGGAAGAAGTCACCCCCTGTGAGTGGCTGGCTGAAGTGCCATCTGTTGAGGAAGTACTGAATGCAATCCGGAGTCTGAGACCAGGAAAGGCAGCGGGCAGAGATGATCTCCCAAGCAAAATGCTGAGGGAGGGTGGCGTTTGTGCAGACTACCCTATATGACATCATAACAACAATATGGACCACTGGACAGGTTCCGCAGGATTGGAAGGATGCCCTGGTGGTCCCCCTTTTTAAGAAGGAGGACCGCACAGACTGTAACAACTACAGGGGCATTTCACTCCTCAGTGTGCCGGGAAAGGTCCTGGCAAGGATTATTCATCATCGCCTTGCCAGGCACGCTGAGGAGAGGCTTGCGGAGCCCCAATGCGGTTTCAGGAAAGGGCGGTCCTGCACAGATGCCATATTTTCTGTCCGTCTGCTACAGCAGAGGTGTATGGAATTCCAACAAGGCCTACATCTCTGCTTTATTGACTTGGTCAAGGCCTATGATACCATCAGTAGGCCTGGGCTCTGGGTTGTTCTTCGTGCTTTTGGAGTACCTGACCCTCTGCTCACCATCATTAAGGACCTTCATGATGGTGAGCGGGCCCGGGTAAAACTACGTGGTCGGGAGTCAGAGCCATTCCCTGTACATCTTGGGGTGCGACAGGGATGTCCTCTGGCACCCACATTATTTAACATCTATTTTGACCACGTAGTTCGTGAAGCCTTCAATAGCTGTACCGGGGGAATCTCCATATGGTACAGATATAATGGGAGGCTGATCGATGCCCGGGTGCGGTCAAGGGATGGCTCCCTATTGCTAAACCATGTTATGTATGCCGATGATTTGGTAATAGCTGCTCATTCAGAGGAGGAGTTGGAGACACTGCTGCTGAGACTGGAGCGTGCCACTTAGAGGTGGGGCCTTACCATCAGCCCCACCAAAACTAAGCACCTGCCTGGGTATTTTGTACCATCGGACACTACACCCCCACAACTCCCAATCAGTGATGAGGCAGTTGTGGAGCGAGTGGAGAGTTTCCCATACCTGGGCAGTGTGCTTATGACCGGCTCCAGTTTAACAGCAGAGGTCTCACTCCGAATCAGTCGAGCGGCAATATCTTTTCATCGGTTGCGTAACGCTGTGTGGAAGCTACCTGGTCTGTCGCTCCGCACTAAGCTTCAGGTCTTCTCGGCCACGGTCATTCCCTCCCTTCTTTACGCTTGCGAAACGTGGACCCCCCTAATGGAACATCTTCGCCGGTTAGAAACATTTAGGCTGGCCTGCCTATGATCCATCCTGGGTTCAACCAGACTGGATTATGTGAGGAGCTCACAAATCCTTGAAAGATCTGGGCAAGGTCCCATCGGTGAGCTCCTCCGGCCGGCAAGGCTGCGATGGCTGGGTCATGTAGCCCGCATGCCCAGCCACCGCATGCCGAAACAGCTTTTGTTCAGCCGGATTGAGGGGGCTAAACGGACGCGGCACGGGCTAGAGAAGAGATGGAGTGATGTGGTACAAGAGGACGTGGAGCTGAGTGGACTTGCCGATGACTGGTACCAGCGGTGTCAAGATCGGCCTCTGTGGAGGAGGCTCGTGAAGGACGCTACTGGGCAGTTGGAGGCAGTCGCCCTCCAACAACAACGGAGGGCGGAGGAGCGACGCTCACAACAACGAGCGGAGCGCCGGGTGGCTAAAGCACAGCAGGTTGGCACAGTAGGGGGCACAGGTGCTGCATCAGCCAGTCATCTCAGTCAGTCGACCCGTGGCACCTGGGTCTGCCCCGTCACCTCCTGCCAGCGGGCGTTCGACACTTCACGTGGGCTCAGGGTGCACATAGCCTGGCACAAGCGTCGTGGTGACGCCACCGCCACTTAGTGGTGAATGGCGGTTGTTATTGTGTAAAACCCACAGGGAGCGGGGGGTAAAATTATTTTTTGAAAATTAGGTGGAGTCAAAACTAAATTGCGCACGCGATGTACAATACGAGCCCGGGGTCAAAACAACATTACTCGGAGTTCAGCGTTACTCGGAGTTCAGCGTGTTCGTGTGCCGATCTCGGTCACGCCACCTGGCCCTATTCAGCCGCCCGTTAAAACTGAAGCCCCGCCAGTTTAGAGAGAATCCCTCAGTATTCTAAACTAAAAAAAAAAACTTTATTTTTTTATTTTTCCCTGGTAAGGCAGCACCTGCACTGTGGGCTATTTGTTTCAGAACCGACCCATCGCAGATGATAGCTCAGCAAAGTGGCTTATCGCGTGGACTTGTATAGCAGCCCAATACTCCAAACGCACGGGGGGGGGGGGGGGGGGGCAGAGGCAGAGCCGGTTAGCACGGTTGTGCTAAAGTTCAATATACATAAAAACTATAAACTGTATCTCCTTGGTTATTTCGGTAAAGTCACGTAGAAGGGAAATAATAAAAGAATACAAATAAAACATAATAAAATATAATTCTCACGACGTTTCGGCCACAACACAAGCAGCCGTCCTCAGGTGATGAAACAGGACTGTCGGAGCGCTGTCTTTCCGACAGTTCCGACGTTATTTTATTATTTCCCTTCTACGTGGTGACTTTACCGAACGAACCAAGAAGATGAATCCTTGCAGTCACGAAAGCTTTAAATCGAAATATAAACTGTATTTTATTTTTATTTTACCAGGTATTGCCCACTGAGCTATATAGCTTATCTTTCAGAAGCGACCTGGCTATCACAAATGATAGCTCAATTAAGTGGTGGCTTGTCACCATGTGGAAATGTATAAATGTGGAGGGAAAGACCAGAGAGCCTGGAGAAAAAGCCTCGCGGCCACAGGGAGCACACGCAGACTCAAAATATACAGCAGGCGTTAGGGTCGGGATCGAACCCACGACCTCCCGTATACCAGGGGAGATAGTTAACATCTCCTAGCATAGTCGTGGTACATGAATAATAATAATAATAATGATCACCACAGCTTGAATAAGCGCCTTTCATGAAAATCTCGAAGCAGCTTTGCATCAATGGCAATTGGGGTGGGGTGGGGTTGAGTAAAAAGTGGGCGAGTGAAAAAAATGGGAAACGCCTTCTAAAGGGGGCAACAACGTCTTTCGGCGAAAAACGCACTGAAGATCCCAAACTGGAACTGGACTCCCTTGTCAGCCCCTGTCAGCCCTTGTCAGCCCTTGTCAGCCCTTGTCAGCCCTTCGTCGGAGGGTTCCACGGCGCAGGCGCATCGTGGAATCGAAGGCCCAGATATCGCCCCCCACGGACGGTAACATCGTTCTTCGCTCATTGTCAGAGGTGGGGGGGGGCACTTTCGCCGATAAAACATCGTCAGTGCGAGGGCCACCACGCATTTGAAACCATCGGCGTTTGGCAGCATCACGACGACAATAGGGTGCCATCAGGGGCCGCACTAAAGGCCATCAGGAGCCCTACTAAAGGCCATCAGGGGCCGCCCTAAAGGCCACAAGGGGCCGCACTAAAGGCCATCAGGGGCCGCACTAAAGGCCACCAGGGGCCCTACTAAAGGCTACCAGGGGCCGCACTAAGGGCCATCAGGGGCCGCACTACAGGCCACCAGGGGCCTCACTACAGGCCACCAGGGGCCCTACTAAAGACCACCAGGGGCCGCACTAAAGGCCACCAGGGGCCCTACTAAAGGCCATCAGGAGTCGCACTAAAGGCCACCAGGGGCCCTACTAAAGACCATCAGGGGCCGCACTAAAGACCACCAGGGGCCGCACTAAAGGCCACCAGGGGCCCTACTAAAGGCCACCAGGGGCCCTACTAAAGGCCACCAGGGGCCCTACTAAAGGCCATCAGGGGCCTTGCAATGAAGAACGCTGGGTTCGAGGCACAGACGCAGAGATAAAGAGGCAGAGGGGATCCCAAGCAACCTGAGTGTAGGGACAGAGTGGAACGGGTTGCACAGCTGTTGACGGTTTACGCTAAAAGTAATAAATATTGGAGAGTGTTGATCCAAAAAAACTGAAACTTCACTTGTGAAAGGCGCCTCATGAGGACACATTATTATTATTATTCGTATTACAGTAACACCCCCGGTTTAGGTCGGGGATGCCTTCCTGAAAGGTGCGACGGTGAATATCGAAACGACGTCAATCAAAGCGATTTACAGGGTAGTAAGAAGGTAGTGGAGGCGAAGGCTGAGAGGCCACAGATGGTCGACGATGCTGTCAGCGATGTAGGTGTGTGTTGAGGAGATGCACATCTTGTTAATAAAGTGACGACGTGTTTGCGAAACGACGTTAAAGGGGGAGACGTGCATCAGGGTGTTACTGTATTTTTGTACAGTGGCACCCATCCTGGGATTTAGTACGGTGCAAAAGAAGTTCAGCGCGTGTACCGAATCAGCAAATCGGGGCGAGAATAATCGAGCAACACGAGAGCAAAGCGCCAGACGAATTTAAGATGCGCAAAATGAGTTTCAATTGCTTGGGGTGGTAAAAATATAAATGGACAAAATATTAAAGTGCGCTGGTGTAGATGGCGGTACCAGATCGGCATTGTACTTTGGGAGCAGGAAGTGTGCCGGGTGGGAGCAGGAAGTGTGCCGAGTGGGAGCAGGAAGTGTGCCAGGTGGGAGCAGGAAGTGTGCCGGGTGGGAGCAAGAAGTGTGCCGGGTGGGAGCAGGAAGTGTGCCGGGTGGGAGCAGGAAGTGTGCCCGGTGGGAGCAGGAAGTGTGCCGAGTGGGAGCAGGAAGTGTGCCGGGTGGGAGCAGGAAGTGTGCCTGGTGGGAGCAGGAAGTGTGCCGGGTGGGAGCAGGAAGTGTGCCGGGTGGGAGCAGGAAGTGTGCCCGGTGGGAGCAGGAAGTGTGCCGAGTGGGAGCAGGAAGTGTGCCGGGTGGGAGCAGGAAGTGTGCCTGGTGGGAGCAGGAAGTGTGCCGGGTGGGAGCAGGAAGTGTGCCGAGTGGGAGCAGGAAGTGTGCCGAGTGGGAGCAGGAAGTGTGCCGGGTGGGAGCAGGAAGTGTGCCGGGTGGGAGCAGGAAGTGTGCCCGGTGGGAGCAGGATGTGCTTGTGTGCATCCTCACATGCGTGTCTGCACGTGGTCAATAAGCGATCACATGGCCTCGCTCTTATTGCAGAGGTTCGAGTCCAGCGGCGGCCCTGATTATTACTGCGGTACTCACCGTGATACCGTACAACGCGCAGTCTGCGTCGCTCACAGTGGACGTTTAAGATCCCGTGATGCCGTTCGCGAAGAGGAGGCCCGCCGTCGTGCGTGCCGTCGTCACGATCAAAATTTGCCAAATTTGAAACTTGCCCATAATATACTCAGCTGAAATTGCAGTATTGTCTCTTTAGCAATCAGCACCCTCTATTGGCAGATCGGCGGGGCGTGCGGGTGTGTAGGCGTGTGGGCGTGTGGTCTCACCGACGGTGGGAGTGGTGGCGTTGCTGGCAGACGCGTTGGAGGAGATGGATGAGGTGCTTTCGGCCCTGGCGAGGGGTGCGAGCCCAGGGGGGGGACTGAACGGGCGCTGCTCGCAAACACAAAAGACAAAGATCCTCCGTATCACCTGAACAGACTGTTGGGGCAAGTGCTGTTAGTGGAAGAGCACCTACGAAGGCCGGTACGGCGCACGAGCGGGACGGGTGGCCAGCACCATGCTCGACCGCCTTTGTCTCCCGAGTGGTGATCTTTATGCACCGCACCAGGTACTCATTTGAGGCCGAGTCGACCGGTTCAGAAAATCGTCATCGGTGTTGGCCGTGAGCGGGAATAGAACTCAGGTCGCCGGGTTAGTAGGGCAATCCGCTCCTCATACGCACGTACAATACGTATGTACGCGCGCAGAGTACGTACGTACCTGCGCACAGTACGTGCGCACGTACCTACGTACTGTGCGCACGTACGTACGTACTGTGCGCACAGTACGTAGGTACGTGCGCACAGTACGTAGGTACGTGCGCACAGTACGTACGTACGTGCGCACAGTACATACGTACGTGCGCACAGTACGTACGTACGTGCGCACAGTACGTACGTACGTGCGCACAGTACGTACGTACGTGCGCACAGTACGTACGTACGTGCGCACAGTACGTACGTACGTGCGCACAGTACGTACGTACGCACAATCTCTAACACTGTCGCCTGTTATATATATAATTTTATCCCACAGTGGTGTTGGCGAACGTGTTGAGTTCGGGGTTACATTCTGCCCGGTTACCTTCTGAATGTCAGAGTAGAGCTTTGTGGGCGGGATCTTCTGCCTGATTGACAGGGGGAGGGGCGAGGCCGGGGCGGAGTCCGCCATGGTGGGCGGAGCCACGGGAGACTGCACCACGATCTGGGGCTCTATGCACACGCACAGACACACACACGCATTTACATACACACGTATACAGACAGGCATATGCAAACACGCGCGTTTACATACACACGCGTATACTGAGACCCGCGTATACATATGTAATGGCATGATGACACCTGCTGGTTAGAAAAGGGAAGCACAGATACAGGCACCGCTAAAACAACGCCCAACCCGAAAGACAGAGGTATCTGGGCCAAAGGTAATGGGCGGGGCTGGCCGGGATGCTCCGGAACCCGCGTGAAGGTTCCACGTTGACTACCTCACCTGCAGACCAGGTGAGGTAGTCAACATCCCCGAGCCATCGTGGCACCCCCCTCCCTCCCTCCCTCCCTCCCTCCCTCCCTCCCTCTCGAGAGAGATCCGTCTAGTGGAGGACCTTCTGCCAGCCGTGGCATGAGCAGCCAATCGCAGGGCTGCGCCTTCACCCCTCACTCCCAGGACCATTCCTCCGTCGGCAAACGCGGCCCACCGGCGGTCGTGGGCGCGGAGTCTCTCGTGGGCACGCCCGGCTCTGCCGCCAGCGCCGGCGCCGCCGTTCCCTCCGCGCCGTCGGCCTCCCCGGGCGGCCGCGGTGAAGCCGCCGCGGCCGCCGGGCCCTCGGGGTTCGTGGCGACGCCGCCCACCGCCGGGGGTGTCTCCGCCTTCCCCTCCGGCTCACTGGGGGGCGCGCCAGGCTCCGCCGTTGATGTCCGCTGGGCCTCGTCGGGGGACGCGGGTTTGTCCAGGGCACCTGGTGGGGGTGGGGGGTCAGAAAAAAAGACAAAGATTCCCCACCTCCCTCTATAGCCTCGAAACACTCTCGAGGCAAGTGCCGTTTGGCGAGGCGGGCACGGCACACGACGAGGGAGGGGGGGGGGGTGGGTGGCGCCTGTCTATCGTATAATTGCAACATAAATCTTCCCCGCAGCTTAAGAATAAAAAAACAAAAGCGGGGGACACGTGGATTATTGGTGCGTCTGCACGCGAGGGCCATCGTATTCACTGTTGACCCCTTTCCCGTTGCGAGACGTCTGCAAGTTGCAGGGTGTGGGTGTCCCGTTCACCGCCGAATCTCGGAACGCGCGAGCGGCTCAGCGGTCATTTAATTTAGGCCATAGCGCCGTTATTTCTGAAGACATTGCACTCACCGCAGAAAACCGCACTCTGTGATAGCCGGCACCAAACTGTGCCACACGCCCTCCCGCATGGCCTTGTGGGAGCCTCAGTACCTGAAGACGTACCGATACAATTATTTGACATCAGGTTTTCACCGATTCCGTTCCAATGACGTACACGTGCGTCACTGGAATGGAAAAAGGTTAGTAAAAGCGGGTTTTTCTCGCAGCGGCTTCTGGCTGCCCATCGAACAAAGACGGTCACCGCATCGCGCACATTCGGATTCACGTCTGCGGCCGTCTGGAATGCTCTTCCTTCCGATATTAGGAAGGCACCAGAGCTATGCACTTTTAAGTTATCCAGAATGAAAACTAATTTCTTTAAAACTGCTTTTGTGTTTAGTTTGTTGTCCTTCTCGCGCACCTCCGATAAGCACGGTCGGCTACGTACGGTGCGAAAGAAGTTCAAAACACACACCGTACATACAAAGACTTTTGTCAACGGGACGGGCGACGGCGGCGGATAGGAAAGACTACCGATGGAGTGGCAGACAAAGAATAGAACGCGCCCGAGAGGAAGTCCAACGGAGGCGGAGCGTCATCACGTTCGTCACCTGCTTCGGTCTCCGTCGGCGTCTCGCTCGACCTCGTCGGCGCCTCGTCCCCGCCGAGGGAAGGCGCCCCCCCCCCCGCGGCCGTGATGATGGGGGCCTCCTGGGGGACACCGCCCCCCACCGCCACGGGAGACACCGGGGGACCGTCATCCTTGGGGGGCCTGTCCGGCGGCGGCGGCGGCGATGCTGGCGGGCGGGGAGGGGACCCCACCTGCGGGGGCGTTTGTTGGGTGGCCGTGCCCTCCGGGGGGGCTTGTGGAGGTCTGGGCCCCCAAATATCAGACTGGCTGTTGCCAGCTTCATCAGACAACAGGTGGACACAGGGAGGGGGTGGTGGTGGGGGTCACAAGACAAAAGACAATAATACACTGCAGGTGTCCCTCGCTTTGCGCAGGCGAACAGAGCGAAATCGCGTAGCACGGAGGGAATTAGCCACCCAACCCACGAGACAGCTGCCTGCCGAGTAGCGCGTACACTGCATAGACAATGCTGTCCCACGCCAGAATTTAAAACTGCGTAGCGTAGCGAATTTTTGGGTCGGATAAGGCAAGCCGCGTACATACAGCGTGAAATCGCACAAACCGAACCCGCACAGAGCGGGGGGAAACCTGTACAACGGAGATGCTGGCGTGCTGTTGTGGTTAGCCCACTGGAATGGCAGTCCACAGGCGCATAAATAATGGCCTTCATCATTATAGGAATGCAACGAACCCAAGAGGATGTGGACCTAGAGAGATGGAGCGACAAAATCATGGGGTGTGCAGGTGCTCGGTGGATCGCCACATCGCAGAGCCGTGAGAGGCGGCGATGGCCTGGGGGAGGCCTTCATCCAGCAGCGGATCGATCGTGGCCGACGACGGACGACGTGTTTGGTGCGGCACGTTCGCAGCGCTCGTCGTCACAAACCTTCCGTCGCGAAGACTTGCGGGATGGCCTCCAGGGGCGGCCCGAAGAGCGGGTCCGACGGGAAGAGCTGATTGGCCGCCACCGCGGCGACGCTGCGGCAACAGCATCGTGGGCGGGGGGGGCGGGGCGGGGGGGGGGCGGGGGGCAGGCATAAGACGCGGAGGATGTAAACGTCAACAACGGTGGAAGAGAGAGCCGGAGCGAGACCGACGGCGAGGCCCAGTCGAGGCGCTTGCGGCGAGCGTCTCTGGGAGCGGCCGCGTCGCTTCGAGGAGGTCGTCCTGGCGGGACTCCAGACGCGAGAGCTGTCTGCGCGCGGCGCCAACGCCCAACGTGACGGCGCGGCGAGGAGGTTCGTGGTTCGACTCGGGCGGCCGCCCTGGTTATCACCACGGTGGTGTGTAGTAGCCGTAACGCGCAGCCGTCTGATTCGCGTTAAAAAGATCCCGTGACGTCACTGTTTTCCTTTCCTATTCCTTATTTTACCAGGCAAGGCCCCACTGAGCCACACCACCCCGCTGCAAGTGGGGGACGCTGGTCTTGGTTTCAAAAACTATTAAACCATTTCATTTGGTTCTTTCGGTAAAGTCACCACGTAGAATGAGAATAAAATAATAAGATGAAACAATAAAATTCTCACGGACGTTTCTGCCACAACACAAGTGGCCTTCTTCAGGTGAAAGGAGCAAACCTGTCGGGACGACAGGGCTACAATGAACGCTGCTAAGATTCGCAGCGTCTTTTAAGCTGGTTGAGAGAAGTGAGGCACCTTGACAAAGGGGTTTTACATATCAAACAGGAGAATTTAGCATTGAAACAGTTGAGGGATTAGCTTGTGACTGGTCACAGAAATAGCTGTGTTAAAGTCAAAGCCTACACATCCACAGAGGCACCTAGTGCATGGACACCAAAGGGGCTGCAACAACTCGACTATCATACAGTAAACCGATGTGGGAAAAAAAAATGTAAACCCCTTTGTCAAGGTGCCTCACTTCTCTCAACCAGCTTAAAAGACGCTGCAAATCTTAGAGGCATTCATTGTAGCTCTGTAGTCCCGACAGGTTTGTTCCTTTCACCTGAAGAAGGCCACTTGTGTTGTGGCCGAAACGTCGTGAGAATTTAATTGTTTTATTTTATTATTTTATTCCCATTCTACTTGGTGACTTTACCGAAAGAACCAAAGAAGATGAATCCTTGCAGTCACGAAAGCTTTAAATCGAAATGTTAAACCATTTTTTTAAAACTACTATTAAACTATTTTTATTTTACTACGTAAGGCCCATTGGAGCTATGTAGATCTCGTTCAGACGCGACCTGGCTATCGCAAATGATAGCTCAACGAAGTGGCTTGTCGTCACGTGGAATTTATAGCAGCCAAATACTCTCAACGCGTGACGTCGATTCTAGACGTGGAGGGGAAAACCGAAGGACCCGGAGAAAAATCCACTCCACTGTGGGGGGAGAGAGAGAGGGAGAAGTGAAAATTCCGAATATACAGCAGAGGCATCAAACCAACTTCCTCCTGCACACCAGGCGAGGTATTTAACATCTCGCATCTGCCCTCAGGTTTATCATAGTTCATAGTTTCATTTATTTGGTATAGCCCTGTGAGCCATTCGGCTCTTGAATCGGGTGCAACCGCAACAAACAAAAAACATGAACAAGAAAACATCTTAAAGTGATTTATCGTTTGTGGAATGCTTGTAACTCACCCTCCCCCACCGCTCTCGCGTTTTATACCGTGCTCCAGTTTCATAAAAAAAAAATATCCTGCCACATCATCCGCAAGAGTCGGCCTATTTGGAAAATCACACCGCAAATTACGTAGAAATTCGATTGCACACGGCAATCATGGGCCACCCTGCTCTGAGAAAACACTTGGCAGGACAGTCCTGCTAGGCTCTCTCCTGGGTAAACAGGCAAAATAAACAGTTTAACACGCGGTAAGAAGCTTGCGCGACCAATATTACTCACAATAAAAGGGTTTTTTTTTTGGGTTCGATCGCGTAAATATAATTGTCGCGTTAAACCCGCCACCACCCGACAGCCAATTCGTAAGCTTTGTCCCGTAAAGAAGAACGTGAGTACGAAGCATCACGGTACTAAAATTGTGAATGTTGTGGGTTTACTCTCCAACACAGTAGTGACTAATTTGCCACGTTCTGTTTACGTGGCAAACTTTACGAATTGGCTGTGTCGGGTGGTGGCGGGTTTAACGACACATTTATATATTTACGCGATCTAACCCACAACACCTTTATGAATAAGCAAAATAAGAATAATAACGTAAGCCCTACTGCTGGATGGTGGCCTCCCCATACCGTGCGAGTCAGCCATGGGAGTTGTTCGACCATGCTTCACCATGCTGGTCAGTCAGTGCAGGTTGGTGAAGTTCCTCTAAAAAGTCGGGAACGGTGGCGGAGCGGTCAGCGCTACGCTGCGCTACGAACCTGGCGAGCCGAGTTCGATTCCCTCTCACGGCCAACACCGGTGACGATTATCTGAAAACCGGTCCTGGGCCTCCCCTAGGTCGACTCAGCCTTCAAATGAGTACCTAGTGCGGTGTAAACATCGACACTGGGGAGACAAAGGCGGCCGGGCGTGTTGCTGGCCACCCACCCCCCCCCCCCCCCCCACTCGTTTGCCGTGCCGGCCTTCATAGTTGCTCGCTAACAGCACTTGTCCTTACAGTCTGTTAAGGCTACACGGGGGATCTTTGTCTTTGTTGGTGGCGTTCCTGTCAAATGTGAGAGCCTTACGCAACTGCGTGGGCCGTTTTGGAGCGCGACTTCCCCATTTTAACGCAGACGTTGATCTTGCGCCATTGCCCTTTTTTCTCCACGCGAACCTACCCAACTCATCCTGCTCGCGCGATTGGCCCCCCGCCAAATCACGTGACTTCGCGCGCATAAGAACGAGCGACGAGGTCAACCGTAAACACGCGCGTGCCGCGTGCGCGTTCCATTTTTTGTTCTTGAAATATTTCTCCGTCCTCTTTAGCCCCCCCCCCCCCCCCCAAACAAACACGACGTAATCTTGCCGTAAAGCGAAACGTTGGACTCTGTGCCGAACGGCACTGCGGCGCATGCCCGGCGGCGGAGAGCCGTACGGCACAAGGACGTTTCCAACCGCCGATTTTTAACAGCCGGCAAGCCGGACCAGCGACCCAGAGGGCGCCGGTGTGATTCCACGTTTCCGATGCGGCACGGCGGTCGATGGAACGGCGGAGCAAGATTTCTCAAATCCCCTCCGCCTATGTCCACCCGGCAGCGTCAATTAGTTCCCAGTTAGCCTGCGATTGGCGGCAGGCGACGTGCGCCGGTGGGCTAAAGTGTGCCTATTCCTAAACTATGAAGATTGTTTGTATTTTACCAGGGTAAGGCCCGCTGAGCTATACAGCTCGTTTTCAAAAGCGACCTGGCCACAAATCAGAGCTCAATGAAGTGGCTCATCATGTGGAAATTTATAGCAGCCAAATACTCTAAATACATTTTGATTTGAAGTTTTCGTGACTGCAGGAATTCATATTCTTGGTTCTTTCGGTAAAGTCACGTAGAAGGGAAACAATAAAATAATAAAAATATTAAAACAATAAAATTCTCACGACGTTTCGACTGCAACACAAGCAATCGTCATCAGGTGTGAAAACCACACCTGATGGCTTTACCGAAAGAACCAAGAATATACTCTAAATGCATGTTTAAAAATTTTAAGAAAAAACCGGAGGACCCCAAGAAAAATCCACACGGGGAGAGAGAGAGAGAGCGACGCGCAAACTCCAAATATACAGCAGCAGGTGTCAGGGTTGGGACCGAACCCGAGACCTCCTGCAGACCAGGCGAGGGATTTAACATCGCCTAGCCACCGCGGTGCGCTCCCACGTCTGGTCGACAACACGAGGAGGGTACGACCGGACGATAACGCGCCGGAGAGCGGCCGGGCAAAGGCGCAGGCGAGAGAGAGACGCCGGTAGGGAGTCACTCACGTGAGCGGCGGTGGGGTGGGCGTGGAGCGCCTCTGCCTCACGATGTCTTCGTCTGCGAATGAAACGCACGCGCGCGAGAGAGAGAGGAATCCGTCTCGTCAAAGCGGCCGGCTGGTAGCGTAGGTACGTGCGTATGTGCGTTGAACGTCTTTCGCACCGTACGTAGGCAACCGCGCGAATCGGAGGCGCGGGGGGGGGGGGGGGGGGGGGGAAGGTCAACTAAACACAACAAGTGGTTCTAAGGAAATGAGTTTGTCAATCTAGGTGACGATTTAAAAGTGCATAGCTCCAGTGGCTTCCTAATATCGGAAGGAAGCGCGTTCCAGACGGCCGCGGGAAGCGCATCTGAAAGCGCGCGTATTGCCTCGAAGAGACTGATTGGGGCAAGTGCAAGTAACGAGTAGCAGCGCCTTGTCAATCCAGTGCTGGATGAGGGCCTCGCGACACTGTGTTGGTCACGGGGGCTGTTGGACCATACTTCACCACGCTGGTCAGTGTGGGTTGGTGAAGGGGGAGTGTGGGTGGGTGGGTGGGTCGGTGGTCGACAGGAACGGTTCAGATTGCCACTAGCTACGGTTAGTGATAACCACTGCAGGGAATCGAACTCAGGGTAGCGTGTCAACACCACAGGGTAGCGTGTCAACACCATGGCACAGCGTGTGTGAGAAACGCGCGTGGAAGGATTTTGAAGGGTGAATTCAAGTGTGAAATCCAATTTTAGTGAACGTGAAACACTTACTGTGCGCTGCCCCTTTCTTGAATGCAACCTGCAAACAGAGTTGACACACGTTTAGGAATTAAACTAAAACTAGTTAAACTACACTATTTTGACTTTACCAGCTCAGGCCCACTGAGCTCTCTAGCGCTCTTTTTCAGCAGCGACTTGGCTATCACAAATGATAGCTCAACGAAGTCGCTCATCATCAAGTGGAAATTTACAGCAGCCAAATACTCTAAACGCCTGATGTTGATTCTAAATGTGGAGAGAGAAACCGGAAGACCTGAAGAAAAATCCACACGACCACGGGGAGAACATACAAACTCCAAATATACAGCAGCAGGCGTCAGGGTCAGGATCGAACCTACGACCTCCTGCATACCCTGGCGAGGTAATCATCATCTCGCCGCACAGACCGAGGCTTCTTAAGTGTAAACACAAGTAAGACAACAATAATAATTGCTGACCTGCCCATACTGGACATGTGTGAAAAAGAGCTTCATAGCTCATCGGATTCCTCGAGCCTCAATACATTCTGAACGTTTTAAACTTGCATATCCACACCACCACCGCTAAATATTCGCTCGATGTCAAACGGAGAGAGAGCATGGCTCAGAGGTGTGAGGAGGACGCCCAGACGGGCGGGGAAAACACCAGCCAGGCTGTGAACCAGCACCAACAATTGCCCAAGCTCTGCTGTCCTCTATATGTTTGTCGGACAATTCATGAGTGTTCATAAATGACAATTTATATCAGTGAACTACATAGTGGGCGAGCCTATGATCTTCTTCGTCTTTCGTACGGCGGCTGATGTAGATGCAGAGCAACGACTACAATTTCACATTCAGGTGGCCAAGCCCAGACAACCGTGTTAGCAGTAGCGGAGTTGTGGTATCGCTTCGAGGTCTCCTTCGTATTTGTAGATGGGGGCATTGCGTCGCTATGCGTTGTATGTTCTGTTCTGGATTGGCCATAGTCGCACACTACTACTGTTGATTTTAAAATTTTCCATTTGTGCACCATCAGGTATCCGCATCTACTGCCACGGTTTGTGCAGTGGATGCGGTTTAGGGTGGACCATGAGCTTCGTGGAAGATCAAACCCAGGGACCAGCCTGTATGATAACCTCAGTCTCCATCTCTAATGAACTGGCCTCTCTATTTACGTGCTGTGAAAAAGGACCGTTGCCCAAAACGTCGACTTTTATATATTTGTTTTCGATTGAAGGCCACACAGTGTGTGACCGATGAACAATGTTGAGACTGCTGTACGACAGGATGTTTCGCGATTACACCAATTCAATTTGTCCATTCGCGTCGATTCTCGTGCTCGCGATACATGCAATAGAATCGCACGCGTAAGAATCGAAATTTTTTTAATTGAATGCAAAGTACACGCTAACGTTACGTGATGGAATTATGGCATAAACATGGGTGCCACTGTGGCAAAATGTTAACTACCTCGTCTGGCATACAGTAGGTTGTGGGTTCGATCCCAACCCTGACTCCTGTATATTTTGAGTTTGCATGTCTCTCTCCCCGTGGTCGCGTGGATTTTTCTCCGGGTCTACCGATTTTTTTACTCCACATTTAGAAATATGCATTTAGAGTAATTGGCCGTTACCAATTTCCAAGCGATAAGCCGCTCCGTTGAGCTCTCATTTGTGACCAGTTCGCTTCTGAAAAAAGAGATGTATAGCTTGGCGGGCCTTAGCTGCTAATCTATAAATATTTTAGCATGTAACAAAGACAAAGATTCCCCTGTGGTCGTACAGACTGTCGGGGCAAGTGCTGTTTAGCGAGCACCTATCAAAGCTGGCACGGCACACGAGGGGGTTGGTGGCCAACACCACGCCTTTATCTCCACAGTGGCGATGTTTACACACCAAACTAGCCACTCACTTTGAGGCTGAGTCGACCTAGGGGAGGCCCATGACTGGTTTCAGATTATTGTCACTGGTGTGTGGTGGCGGAGACCAAGCTCGGCCACCTTTGTCTCCCCAGTGCTGTTGTTTATAGACCTCGACCAGGTTCATATTCTTGGTTCTTTCGAAAGAACCAAGAATATGAACCCCTGCATTCTCTAAAGAACCAATAATATAAACCCCTGAAGTCTCAAAAGAACCACGAATATGAACCCCTGCAGTCTATAAAGAACCACCAATATGAATCCCTGCAGTCTCTAAAGAACCAAGAATATGAATCCCTGCAGTCACGAAAGAACCAAGAATATGAACCCCTGCAGTCTCTAAAGAACCACGAATATGAATCCCTGCAGTCACGAAAGAATCAAGAATATGAATCCCTGTAGTATTGAAAGAACCAAGAATATGAACCCCTGCAGTAACGAAAGCTTTAAATTAAAACTCGACCAGGTTGCCAGGTCGGCATAGGGGAAAAGAACAGTAGTTTATCTTCTTTGGTTCTTTCGGTAAAGTCACGTAGAATGAGAATAAAATAATAAATTGATAAAATAAAATAACACAATAATATTCTCACGACGTTTCGGCCACAACACAAGCGGCCTTCATCAGGTGAAGGGAGCGAGACTGTCTGGTAGGACAGCGCTGGAGTGAGAGAGCCACGTTCAGATCACGGCTTTTTAAGCTGTGTGAGAGGAACAAAGAGCCTTGACGAAGGAATTAGCATAAAATTTTTTGCATTGAAATGGCTGAATGATTAGCTTGTGACTGGTCACAGAAATAGCTATGTTAAAAGTTAAAGCATACACATCCGCAGAGGCACCCATTGTTAAAAGGAATTAGCATAGAATTTAGCATTGAAATAGCTAAATTAAGGCATACACATCCGCAGAGGCACCCCTTGATAATGGGATTAGCATAGAATTTAGCATTGAAATGGCTGAGTGATTCGCTTGTAACTGCTACAGAAATAGTTACGTTGAAGTCAGAGCATACACATTCACCGAGGCACTTAGTACAAATCAAACAGGAGAATTTAGCATTGAAATAACTAGGCGAATTTAGCATTGAAATAACTGGGTGATTTGCTAGTGACTGGTCACAGAAATGACTACACATCTGAGCTATTCACAGTACTATATAGTGAACCAATAAAAACTAAAATATAAATTACCTTCATGTTATCAATAAACTCTATATTCTCCAATCAGCTAAGCTACCAACCATGAGTCGTTATATATCACAATGCTATATGGCGAAAAAATGGGTGGATTCTTACCCTCAAATTTCCGTACCACGGATAGCTACGGGCCCCGTTCAGACGGACGAGTTCGTCCATGGTCGGAATAGAGGAGGGGGAGAGAGACAGCTGCGAAGCCCTAGTATACTCCATGTTGTAAACCATACCATTAACCGTGGTGTGAGAGGTATTAAGAGGCAATGCTGGCGAAAGAGCTGCGGTCTGAAGGTCATCGTAAAATTACAATTAATTAAGAACAGAAATGATTTAACACATCTTTCCAGTGGTTACTAAGCTTGAATCCATCTTCTCGGTTGAAATTGTCTCTGTGCTTGTATATGTGAATGGCCTCATGAACGAATCTCTCATGGTAGCCAGTTGGTTTGCAAAGAACCTCCGTCTTGGAGAAGTCAATGTCATGTGAGCCCACTGAATTGTAACAGTGATCTGCCACGGCAGAGGAGTTCGTCTTACCGTGTTTCAAGTCTGCTTTATGTTCGCGGATGCGGTCCGAGATATGTCTTTTGGTTTCTCCAATGTAGCTACTACCACAGAGGCACTTTAGTTTGTAAACGCCCGGGTACTGTATGTCTGGAAGAGCATCTTTTACAGATGGAACTAAATCACGGATTTTGTGTACTGTGTTGAATCGGACCTGGATCTTGTGTTTATTCAGGATTTTGGAGATCTTTTTAGTGACCCCTGCAATGTAGGGTAAGGTGATGGTTTTGAGTGGCTCCACAAGAGGATCCTTCTTCATGACTGGAGTGATGGCTTTGCGGATTGTGTAGTCGGAGTAGCCATTAGCCCTGAGAGCCTGGTGTACGTGCTTGAGTTCACTGGTAATGTGTTCCTGGTCGGAAATGCATTGGGCTCTATGGTATAGAGTCTTGATGAGGCAGTTCTTCTGGGATGGATGGTGGTGGGAATCCGGTTTCAAGTAAGCATCTGTATGGGTAGCTTTCCTGTAGACAGAGTGGCTCATTGAACCATCATGTCTCCTTTTAATTAAGACATCCAGAAAGGGTAGTTTGCCATCTTTTTCGACCTCCATGGTAAATCTGATGGCTGGGTGTATGGAATTGATGTGGTCGCGGAATTGGTCTAGAGCAGGCTGGCCATGTGGCCAGATGACAAAGGTGTCATCAACGTACCTCTTCCATAAGGTCGGGCGTAGAGTGGCAGTCTGGATGGCGTCAGTTTCAAATTTTTCCATGAATACGTTGGCTACAACCGGAGATAGGGGGGAGCCCATTGGGGTGCCCTCAGTTTGTTTGTAGAAAGTTCCATTCCAGGTGAAGTATGTGTTGGTTAAGCAATGTCTCACCAGGGGGGGTACATCAGTATGCAGTCCTTGATGAACCAGGTCTTCAATGATAGCGATGGTGTCAGGTACCGGGACTTTGGTGAACAAGGACACCACATCAAAACTGACAAGCAGGTCGTTTGGGGACAGGGAAATGTCTTTGATTGTCGATACCAGGTGAGTAGAATTTAGTACCGCAGAGGTGGTTTTTCCAGTGAAAGGTCGCAGTATATCAGCCAGAAAACGTGCCAGTTTGTAGGTGGGGGAGCTGATAGTAGAGACGATGGGACGAAGGGGTGTATCTTCTTTGTGTATCTTTGGAAGGCCATATAATCTTGGTGGTCTGGCAGCAGAGGGTTTCAACAAGAACTGTTTGTTCTCATCAATTAATGCTGTTGAATCAGAGATAATTTTGTTCGTTTTGGTGACCAGGCTGTTGGTGGGGTCTCTTTTTATTTTTGTATAGCTGCCATCGTTGAGTAGTTCTTGAATTTTGTTGTTATATTCTGTTTTGTCCATGATGACAGTGGCATTGCCTTTGTCGGCTGAGAGAACGACAATCAGATTTACCATGGAGGTCGAAAAAGATGGCAAACTACCCTTTCTGGATGTCTTAATTAAAAGGAGACATGATGGTTCAATGAGCCACTCTGTCTACAGGAAAGCTACCCATACAGATGCTTACTTGAAACCGGATTCCCACCACCATCCATCCCAGAAGAACTGCCTCATCAAGACTCTATACCATAGAGCCCAATGCATTTCCGACCAGGAACACATTACCAGTGAACTCAAGCACGTACACCAGGCTCTCAGGGCTAATGGCTACTCCGACTACACAATCCGCAAAGCCATCACTCCAGTCATGAAGAAGGATCCTCTTGTGGAGCCACTCAAAACCATCACCTTACCCTACATTGCAGGGGTCACTAAAAAGATCTCCAAAATCCTGAATAAACACAAGATCCAGGTCCGATTCAACACAGTACACAAAATCCGTGATTTAGTTCCATCTGTAAAAGATGCTCTTCCAGACATACAGTACCCGGGCGTTTACAAACTAAAGTGCCTCTGTGGTAGTAGCTACATTGGAGAAACCAAAAGACATATCTCGGACCGCATCCGCGAACATAAAGCAGACTTGAAACACGGTAAGACGAACTCCTCTGCCGTGGCAGATCACTGTTACAATTCAGTGGGCTCACATGACATTGACTTCTCCAAGACGGAGGTTCTTTGCAAACCAACTGGCTACCATGAGAGATTCGTTCATGAGGCCATTCACATATACAAGCACAGAGACAATTTCAACCGAGAAGATGGATTCAGGCTTAGTAACCACTGGAAAGATGTGTTAAATCATTTCTGTTCTTAATTAATTGTAATTTTACGATGACCTTCAGACCGCAGCTCTTTCGCCAGCATTGCCTCTTAATACCTCTCACACCACGGTTAATGGTATGGTTTACAACATGGAGTATACTAGGGCTTCGCAGCTGTCTCTCTCCCCCTCCTCTATTCCGACCATGGACGAACTCGTCCGTCTGAACGGGGCCCGTAGCTATCCGTGGTACGGAAATTTGAGGGTAAGAATCCACCCATTTTTTCGCCATATAGCATTGTGATATATAACGACTCATGGTTGGTAGCTTAGCTGATTGGAGAATATAGAGTTTATTGATAACATGAAGGTAATTTATATTTTAGTTTTTATTGGTTCACTATATAGTACTGTGAATAGCTCAGATGTGTAGTCATTTCTGTGACCAGTCACTAGCAAATCACCCAGTTATTTCAATGCTAAATTCGCCTAGTTATTTCAATGCTAAATTCTCCTGTTTGATTTGTACTAAGTGCCTCGGTGAATGTGTATGCTCTGACTTCAACGTAACTATTTCTGTAGCAGTTACAAGCAAATCACTCAGCCATTTCAATGCTAAATTCTATGCTAATCCCATTATCAAGGGGTGCCTCTGCGGATGTGTATGCCTTAATTTAGCTATTTCAATGCTAAATTCTATGCTAATTCCTTTTAACAATGGGTGCCTCTGCGGATGTGTATGCTTTAACTTTTAACATAGCTATTTCTGTGACCAGTCACAAGCTAATCATTCAGCCATTTCAATGCAAAATTTTATGCTAATTCCTTCGTCAAGGCTCTTTGTTCCTCTCACACAGCTTAAAAAGCCGTGATCTGAACGTGGCTCTCTCACTCCAGCGCTGTCCTACCAGACAGTCTCGCTCCCTTCACCTGATGAAGGCCGCTTGTGTTGTGGCCGAAACGTCGTGAGAATATTATTGTGTTATTTTATTTTATCAATTTATTATTTTATTCTCATTCTACGTGACTTTACCGAAAGAACCAAAGAAGATGAATCATTGCAGTCACGAAAGCTTTAAATCGAAACAGTAGTTTAGCAGTAGTTTATTTTTAATTACCCTGTGCGCCAAGAAGCTCTGAAATCACGATAAAAAAACAACACCCATTCAAATATCAATCGCCTCCGACGTTAGCCGTCGCCGTACATCGAACCCAGGTCATGGTGGTTCAGATGGTGGCGCGCTAACCACTGTGCCACCACTCCCCAAATACCGCATATAAATATGCACTTACGGCAAAGACCCCACGTATCGTCTGTACAGACTTTTTTGGGCAAGTGCTGCGAGCTAGTAGCAGAACCTATGAAGGCCGACATGGCACACGATGGGGGGGGGGGTGGGTTGCCAGCACCAAGGCCGGCACCATACACACACACGCACACGCAAGCAGCACACACATGGGCACGTGTAGGCGAGCGCGAGCGAACAAACTCACCGGGTTGCGCCTCTGTGTTTAGACAACGAGCAACATAGAATGAACAGAAAACGGAGCGGCATTATTCACCCAGCTCACGGCGGCATATCATTTATCATGTATCCACAATGCACCGAGGCAGCGTGCAATCATCGTGTATTTCGCTTGGTGTTGCTGGATGGCCGGGGTGGCTCAGAGGTCAGAGTCAGAGGTCAGAGTTCAGAGAGCTGCCTGTGGTTAAACCGGCTTCTCGAGCACAGACAGGTCTCAACCCGGTCACAATTGTCCCCACCAAAACAACCCGGTCCCCCCCCCCCCCCCTCAAATCTGGCTCGGCGCCCGATTTGACGACGATTTCAGCTCCGAGAATGAAAGATCTCGGCTCGAACGTCACGCGACGATCGCGCAACTCTCGGAGGCAGAGCGAGTGCGAAAATGATCGTCGCTTGCCGCGTAGAGCAGACGTCGCTGGAAGGGGTCGCGGAAGCAGTTCTGTGATATCCACTTCTGTGGCCATGTTCTCCAACAACGAATGGGGTTTTTACATTGCTCCGCGGGGAGCTCCGAATGGATTCTCCGTCACACGCGGTAAACGCGCGATTGGCGAGCGTCTGTGCAGGATTTCGACCCGTTACGTGAACCCCTTTGGCATTCATGTGACAGGTCACACCAGTGCTTCTTGCACAACGCTCGCGACCAAGGGTCGGGGAGTTTCTGTACCTCCCCTCCCTACGTCGCAGTGTGCGCTCTGGACCGGGCTCCTATTGAACAATAATAAACACACTAAAAATGAAGTCACTTCGGGCTTCTGCTGTGGGTCACGGACGAGCGCACGCCCGCGACCCACGCTTCGGAGACGAGGGACATCCACCCGCAGCGCGAGGGCACCGGCGCGCTGGCTCGGCTCGGATGCGCCAGTGGAAAAGGATTATTAGAAACAAGTCGGTCCAGCCCTGTCACGTCACCGTTAACCCTACCCACCCCCCTAGCCCCCACCCCCTACCCACCCTCCTAGCTCCCACCCCCTACCCACCCCCCTAGCCCCCACCCCCCTAGCCCCCACCCCCTACCCACCCTCCTAGCTCCCACCCCCATAGCTCCCACCCCCTACCCACCCCCCCATCCCCCACCCCCTACCCACCCCCCTAGCCCCCACCCCCTACCCACCCCCCTAGCCCCCACTCCCATGTCCCCCCCCCCCCCATGCCCCCCCATACCCCCGCCCCCAGGCTTACCGGACTTCTCCTCTGTGGCAGCACGAGAGACAAAAACAACAAAGTCGCAATTAAAATCGGGGTTATAAAGATCCCCAAACCCGGTGAACCCACCACCACCACCACTCCGCGTGGCATCGACGTGCACCTAGCCTGGCGCAAGTGGCCGCGATGCAATCGCCGCCACTTCGTGCAAACTGACAGATGTTTGCTGTGGCAGCGCGCATTAGCGTGCGCCCGCATCCCGCGCGAGAGCGAGCGAGCGAGAGAGCGTGCGTGAGAGCGTGGGCTCACGGCAGGCGACGGCGGCAGGGCGATGTTGCAGATGGACGCCCTCAGCTCCTGCGCTGCCGCGGTGGGGTCGGGGCCCCCCACCGCCTCCTCGGGGGGCTTGATCTCCACGTAGAGGCGTCTCCTACGGCGGCGGCCGCCGCCACCCCCGCCGTCGCCGCCGCCGCCGCCGCCGCCGCCGCCCCCCCCGCCGGCTTTGCCCCCCCTGGCCTCCTCCTCCGAGTCGCTCGATGAGTAGAAGCAGTTCGTTTTGGGGTGTGCCGTGGGCGTCAAGGTGGGAACCGCGCGGTTCGATCGGACTCGAATTGCTGTAAAACCTTGGATTGCGAGCATGATTCGTTCCGGGAACGTGTTTGTAATCCAAAGCACTCGTATATCAAAGCACTCGTATATCAGTTGTGATCACGTGACGCTCGGCAGACAAAGCGTCTGTACGTACTACTCGTATTGCAAGACCTCGCTCGTTTATCAAATTAATATTTATTTTAAATTTTGCTCGTCTTGCAAGACACTCGCAGCCCAAGTTACTCGCAATCCAAGGTTTTACTTTGTTGTTGTCACTTTGTTACCGGAGGAGGAGTGCGATGAGCTACGAAGGTCTTTTTCACAGATGTCCGGTCGGGGGCACGGGGTCAGAACGTCAAAAGGCAAACACGTCAACTTAAAATATAAATATATACCCACGAATACAACTAAACTATTTATTTTATATTCTTGGTTCTTTCGGTAAAGTCACATAGAAGGGAAACAATAAAATAAAATATAAAACAATAAAATTCTCGTGACGTTTCGACTGCAACACAAGCAATCATCGTCAGGTGTGAAAACCACAGCAAGAATTTTTTAAATATTTTTATTATTTTATTGTTTCCCTTCTACGTGGTGACTTTACCGAAAGAACCAAGAATATGAATCCCTGCAGTCACGAAAGTTTTAAATCAATATTTATTTTATATTACCAGGTAAAGCCCACTTAGCAGTTAGCTTATTTTTCACAAGCGACCTGGCCAAACATGATCGCTCATTGAAAGCGAGGGAGATAAACCGCGCACCCTCTTTGGTGACACGCTCTTCCTTCCGATATTAGGATGCCGCTAGAGCTATGCACTTTGAAATCATCCAAATCGACAAACTCATTTCTGTAGTACCGCTCGTCATGTTTAGTCGTCCTTCCCCCACACTTCCGACGATGTACGCATGTTCAACTTCTTTCGCACCGTTCGTAGCCGACCGTTGCTAATCGGAGGTGCGGGGGGGGGGGGAGGTCAGAAAACGAAACACAAAAACATACATCGCTGCGAGAGGCCCCCCCTTCCTTGCCTGTAACGTCTGGCAGTTCACCTGCAGCATTGGTTCAGGCGACTGCGCTGATGAGGAGGCACCGCGTGTAGAAACGGGTCCAGGATCCTGCTTGCATTGAATCCACACCGTGTCAACCCACACGCTTCACCCCCTTATTCTTGTACAGGGAAAGTGAGTTTTCAGGTCCGTACGGCGTTACAGCCGTTTCAATGTGGGCACATTTTTAAAAAATACATATTTCTTTGTGTTTCTGCCTCGTGACGGAACTTTGTAGGATGAACGTTGAGATTTACAAGGGGCACGGGGTGACCAATAAGGTCTGAATTGGTCTGTAATAAGGTAGGCACCGATAAGGGGTTGACGGGTTCGCGATGAATGCTGCTAAAATTGCGCCCTCCCAGAATGGCCGTGCGTCGGGGCCCGACGTGCTGTGTCATTTTTTTTGTCTATACGCAGAGGCGGATTTGTGAAGGGCCTTCTCATTTATGGACTTCATCGCCGCGCTGCGAGGTTTCTCTCGCGCAAGTCCATTTCTGAACGGGCCCGAGGCCATCAACTCGCCGCGCCTTGTGAGAGCGCGGCTGAACGACGGGGGCGTGCGGGAAGGATATCGTTCAGCTCAATGTCCGGGCGGATGCTGTAGCCTTCATCGTCCACCTCCGGTGTTGTCTGCGGGAGGGGGACGACACGGGGGAGACACCAGTCAGCCCCGGACGAGGCCGCTACAGGGGTGCGTCAAAACTTATTTTTGTACTTTTCGATTTAAAGCTTTCGTGACTGCAAGGATTCATCTTATTTGGCTCTTTCGGTAAAGTCACCACGTATAATGAGAATAAAGTAATAAAATAAAACAATAAAATTCTCACGGACGTTTCGGCCACAACACAAGTGGCCTTCTTCAGGTGAAAGGAGCAAACCTGTCGGGACGACAGAGCTACAATTAACGCTGCTAAGATTCGCAGCGTCTTTTAAGCTGGTTGAGAGAAGTGAGGCACCTTGACAAAGGGGTTTACATGTCAAACAGGAGAATTTAGCATTGAAACAGTTGAGGGATTAGCTTGTGACTGGTCACAGAAATAGCTGTGTTAAATTTTGATTTAAAGCTTTCGTGACTGCAGTAATTCATATTCTTAGTTCTTTCGGTAAAGTCACGTTGATGGGAAACAACAAAATAATAAAAGCCTACACATCTACAGAGGCACCTAGTGCATGGACGCCAAAGGGGCTGCAACTACCCAACTATCATACAGAAAACCGATGTGAAAAAAAACCTAAGTCTAAATTACATCAATATAATAAATGTACTCAATATATTCTTCAATAAGCAGAGCTATTAACAGCAACTGGGTATACACTACACTATATAATGAATACCATATAGTAAACAGATAAAAAACTAAAATATAAACTACCTCAATGTTATCAATAAACTCTATATATTCTCCAATCAGCTGAGCTACCAACAATAAGTCGTTATATATCACGATGCTATATGGCGAATTCTGAGAATTCGCAAAAATCATACAATGAATGTGGAGACCACCTGGAGAAGATTCCAGGATATGCGTTGACAACGATGGGGAACAATTGGAGTCTCTTGGACTTTTTGAAGCTATTAACGTGCATCTGTTATCAGGTTACAGTGTATTAATCCGCTCTTTTTCCATTAAAAACGATAGTTCCATTTAATCGTTCACATTTTTTTGAAGCACCCTGTATATCGCAGCCACCCCCCTCCCTCCCCCCCCCCGTGCTTCTGTCAAAGTTGGTTCAGCTCCAATTATTCCCCCGCCCGACCCCAACAATGTAGTCACATTGGAGATGGTTCAGCATGGTTTCATGAGTGATTGTTTAACCCAGATGATTCATCACCCCCCGTTGAATCCATGAGATGGTTGAGCCCAAGTATCTCCACTCTCCCCCTATGGTTCCATGAGAGATGGTTCAACCCATGTGTACCCCTCCACTGCGGTTCCATGAGCGATACGTTCGTTCAAACTTGGTGTACCACTCTCACCTCCATAGTCCATAGTCCCCCATAGTCCCATGAGAGATGGTCCAGCCCAGGCGTCTCCCCCACTCCCATAGTCCCATGAGAGATGGTCCAGCCCAGCTGTCTCCCCCACCCCCATAGTTCCATGAGTGATGGTTCAGCCCAGGTGTCTCCCCCCCCCCCATAGTCCCATGAGAGATGGTCCAGCCCAGGTGTCTCCCCCCCCCATAGTCCCATGAGAGATGGTCCAGCCCAGGTGTCTCCCCCCCCCCCCATAGTCCCATGAGAGATGGTCCAGCCCAGGTGTCTCCCCCACCCCCATAGTTTCATGAGTGATGGTTCAGCCCAGGTGTCTCCCCCCCCCCCCCCCATAGTTCCATGAGTGATGGTTCAGCCCAGGTGTCTCCCCCCCCCCCATAGTCCCATGAGAGATGGTCCAGCCCAGGTGTCTCCCCCCCCCCCCCCCCATAGTCCCATGAGAGATGGTCCAGCCCAGGTGTCTCCCCCACCCCCATAGTTCCATGAGTGATGGTTCAGCCCAGGTGTCTCCCCCCCCCCCCATAGTCCCATGAGAGATGGTCCAGCCCAGGTGTCTCCCCCACCCCCTATAGTTCCATGAGTGATGGTCCAGCCCAGGTGTCTCCCCCACCCCCATAGTTCCATGAGTGATGGTTCAGCCCAGGCAGCTATCTCCCTGTCACTCACATAACGCTGCCAGTCAATCTCGGTGTAGAAGCCGTCGGGAGCGCCGTTAGAACGCTTCTGGGTGTCGAGCCGATGCGACAGCAACAGGAGGAAGTGGAGAAGGTGCAGCAACAGCAGCGGGAGCAGCAGGGAGCAATGCAAAGAGAAGATCAATGAAATCATCGTTGAGAAGAGGAGAATGGGAAATTCGACTGGAAGGTGCAGGAAGAAGACGCGTGAGGTTACGTGCGAGTCCGTGTACGTCTGTGTGGGTAGTGGTGGCGAAGTGGGACTGGCCAAATCACCCCCCCTTCGTGTGCCACTATGGCCTCCTACTGTAGTAACAGCACTTGCCTATGCAGACTATATGGGGCATCTTTGTATTTGTATGGGGAAGTGGCGGTGCAGTGGTTAGCGCATTGCGCTACGAACCTGGGCTATCCGAATTCGATTCCTGCTCACAGCCAACATTAGTGGCAAATATCTAAACCAGTTCTGGGTCTCCAATAGGGCGACTCAGCCTAGTATGTAACATCGCCACGAGAGAGACAAAGGCAGTCGGGCATGGTGCTGGCCACCCACCCCCTCGTGTGCCGGGCCGGCCTTCATGGATGCTCGCTCACAGGACTTGCCCCAACAGCATGTTAAGGCTACACGGGGGTTCTTTGTCATCGTGTATGCGCATGCCAACTGTGCCAGTAGGGAGGACAGGTGGTGCATCTGCCAGTGATCTCAGTCAACCCATGGCACCTGAGTCTGTCCCGTGACCTCCTGCCAACGAGCATTTGACACTTCACGTGGTCTCAACGTGCACCTAGCCTGGCACAAGCGCTGTGGTGACGTCACCACCGCTTAGTGGCGAACGGTGTTGTTGTCGTGTGTGCAGAGCTCACACCTGGTCGGCATCCTGAGAGCCTCTGTAGGTGGTGGACAGGAAAGAAAAACACGCACGCACGCACACACACACGTGCACGCAAGTGAACGGCAAACATCACCACCACTCAAACATTCACACCGCGCCTCCCATGCGGTAACATCTCGAGGCGCCCTGCGCCAGGGGACCCCCAGGGGCAGCCGCCCCTGTGTGGCACAGTGTGAACGCGGCACCAGGCCAACGAGCGGGCATCGGTCTGCCAGTAGCGGGCGACGTTGCAGTGCGGTTTTTCCCAATGTGGCAATCTGCGAGTCACTTGCCAGATTTGGCAAATTTGGAGCGTGGCGCCGTCGCACGAACAACGCGACGGAATCTTTAATGTCCGCTGTGAAGCGGACAACGTGTATGTTTGGCTAGTGCACCCGCATTGCGCGTGTGTGCATGCCAAACCTCTTTCGCACCGTGCGTAGCCAACCGTGCGCCAAGCGGAGGTGCATAGAGATGCAGGCAAAGATTCCCCCGTATAGTCTCCCAACAGACTTTTGGGGGCAAGTGCTGTTCGCGAGCACCCAACAAGGCCGGAACGGCACACGAGTGGGTGGGTGGCCAGCACCACGCCCGACCACCTTTGTCTCCCCAGCGCTAGCGATGTTTACACACTGTGCAGGGTAGTAATTGAAGGTTACGTGTCTCTCTACCCGTGGTCGCGTGGATTTTTCTAACGGGTCCTCTGGTTTTTCCCTCCACATTCAGAATCAACGTCACGCGCCTAAAGTATTCGGCTGCTGTACATTTTCACGTGGTGATAAGCCACTTCTCGTTGGGCTATCATTTATGATAGCCAGGTCGCTTCGAAAACTGAAGGTATATATCTCAGTGGGCCTTACCTGGTCAAATAAAACATTGTTAAGTTTTATCATGGGGGCTTTCTTGGCAGTATCTAAATGTGTCACTCCTGAGACTAGGCCATAAGGAAGACCGTCTCTGGTGTAGGCCAATCAGTTTCAAGAGAATGCCATATATTATCAGGGCATGTTTGTTTGCATGTTCACCGCAAGTACTGTGTGGTTAATGCAAGCTTGATTCCATGCGCAAGGTATCGATTTGGTGTTTGAACATCTTAACACCTCCTGTTTTATTGCCAGAAAGGGTAAAACGTATTCTTATTTTTCATATGTTTAGTTTCAATTGACGTGATCCGGCAACCCCGGCCTCCGAACCTCTGGGGATCGGCGGCATACGACGCTAACCGCTGCCTGGGCGGGCCCCGCTCACTAAGAAGGGCCCCGCTCGCTACGTAGGGCCCCGCTCGCTACGGAGGGCCCCGCTCGCTACGGAGGGCCCCGCTCGCTACGGAGGGCCCCGCTCGCTACGGAGGGCCCCGCTCGCTACGGAGGGCCCCGCTCGCTACGGAGGGCCCCGCTCGCTACGTAGGGACCCGCTCGCTACGTAGGGCCCCGCTCGCTACGTAGGGCCCCGCTCGCTACGTAGGGCCCCGCTCGCTACGGAGGGCCCCGCTCGCTACGTAGGGCCCCGCTCGCTACGTAGGGCCCCGCTCGCTACGTAGGGCCCCGCTCGCTACGGAGGGCCCCGCTCGCTACGGAGGGCCCCGCTCGCTACGGAGGGCCCCGCTCGGTGCAGCGGCATCGTCGTCGTCGTCACGGCGCCAGCAGAGCGGCTCTCCATCCATCGGGATCCCAATGTCGACGGGCGATCGCACTCACGTGGACTCGGAGTCCTTGTCTTTCCTCTTAATCCCAAACGTGAGCTTAGTCCGTTTTTTCAGTCCTGGGACGACACACACGACAACAAACACAGACATAGATCCCCCCCTCCCGTGTAGCATCAGCAGACCTTTTTGTGGCTGTTAGCGAGAAGTTATGATGAAGGCCGGTAGGGCACACGAGGTGCTGGGTGGCGAGCACCACGCCCAGCTGCCGCTGTCTCCCTAGTGTCGATGTTTACACACCGCACCAGGTACACACACACACGTACACGTGTACACACACACACGTACACGTGTACACACAAACACGTGTACACACAAACACGAGTGTACACACACACAAACACGAGTGTACACACACACACGTGTACACACACACACACGTGTACACACACAAACACACATGTACACACACAAACACACGTGTACACACACAAACACACGTGTACACACACAAACACACGTGTACACATACAAACACGCACGTGTACACATACAAACACGCACGTGTACACACACACACAAACACGTGTACACACAAACACACGTGTACACAGACACGTACACGTGTACACAGACACGTACACGTGTACACAGACACGTACACGTGTACACACAAACACACGTCTACACACAAACACGAGTCTACACACAAACACGAGTCTACACACAAACACGAGTCTATACACACGTGTACACACAAACACACGTGTACAACAACAACAACCGCCATTCGCCACTAAGTGGTGGTGACGTCACCACGACGCTTGTACCAGGCCATGTGCACCTTGAGGCCACGTGAAGTGTCGAACGCCCGCTGTCAGGAGGTCACGGGGCAGACCCAAGTGCCACGGGTCGACTGACGAAGATGACTGAGATGTACTCTTTGTTTTTTTTCGGTAAAGTCACGTAGGTAAAATAAAAAAAACAACTAAATTAAATCACGACGTTTCGGAGGCAACACAAGCTTCCGTCTTCAGGTGAAACTGACTGAGATGACTGCCTTAATGATTAATTAATGACTGAGATGACTGGCTGATGCACCACCTGTGCCCCCTACTGTGTCAACCTGCTGTGCTTTAGCCACCCGGCGCTCCGCTCGTTGTTGTGAGCGTCGCTCCTCCGCCCTCCGTTGTTGTTGGAGGGCGACTGCCTCCAACTGCCCAGTAGCATTCTTCACGAGCCTCCTCCACAGAGGCCGATCTTGACACCGCTGGTACCAGTCATCGGCAAGTCCACTCAGCTCCACGTCCTCCTGTACCACATCACTCCTTCTCTTCTCTAGCCCGTGCCGTGCCCGTTTAGCCCCCTCGATCCGGCCGAACAAAAGCTGTTTCGGCATGCGGTGGCTGGGCATGCGGGCTACATGACCCAGCCAACGCAGCCTTGCCTGTCGGAGGAGCTCACCGATGGGACTTTGTCCAGATCTTTCCAGGATTTGTGAGCTCCTCGCACTATCCAGCCTGGTTAAACCCAGGATGGATCGTAGGCAGGCCAGTCTAAATGTTTCCAATCTGCGAAGATGCTCCATTAAAGTGGGGGGGGGGTCCACGTTTCGCAAGCGTAGAGAAGGGAGGGAATGACCGTGGCCGAGAAGACCTGAAGCTTAATGCGGAGCGACAGACCAGGCAGCTTCCACACGGCGTTACGCAACCGATAAAAAGATATTGCCGCTCGACTTATTCGGAGTAAGACCTCTGCTATTAAACTGGAGCCGGTCATAAGCACACTGCCCAGGTATGGGAAACTCTCCACTCTCTCCACAACTGCCCCATCACCGATTGGCAGTTGTGGGGGTGGAGTGTCCGATGGTACAAAATACCCAGGCAGGTGCTTAGTTTTGGTGGGGCTGATGGTAAGGCCCCACCTCTTAGTAGCACGCTCCAGTCTCAGCAGCAGCGTCTCCAACTCCTCCTCTGAATGAGCAGCTATTACCAAATCATCGGCATACATAACATGGTTTAGCAATAGGGAGCCATCCCTTGACCGCACCCGGGCATCGATCAGCCTCCCATTATATCTGTACCAAATGGAGATTCCCCCGGTGTACACACACACACACGTGTACACACACGTGTACACACACACACACGTGTACACACACGTGTACACACACACACGTGTACACACACGAGTGTACACACACGAGTGTACACACACGAGTGTACACACATACGTGTACGCACACACAAACACACGAGTGTACACACATACAAACACACGAGTGTACACACATACAAACACACGAGTGTACACACATACAAACACACGAGTGTACACACATACGTGTACGCACACACAAACACACGTGTACACACACACGTGTACACACACACGTGTACACACACACGTGTACACACACACGTGTACACACACACGTGTACACACGTGTACACACACACACGTGTACACACGTGTACACACACACACGTGTACACACACGTGTACACGTGTACACACACACGTGTACACGTGTACACACACACGTGTACACGTGTACACACACACGTGTACACGTGTACACACACACGTGTACACGTGTACACACACACGTGTACACGTGTACACACACGTGTACACGTGTACACACACACGTGTACACGTGTACACACACACGTGTACACGTGTACACACACACGTGTACACACGCACGTGTACACGTGTACACACGCACGTGTACACACACACGTGTACACGTGTACACACACACGTGTATACACACAGGTGTACACACACACAAACACGTGTACACACAAACACACGTGTACATGGATGAGGACCTTCTCTTGCTGTGCGGTTGGTGGGGGCTATGCGACCAAACTTCACCACGGTGGTCAGCGTGGGGCTGGTGAAAGTAGGGAGCATAGAACTACTACCAACTTGGTCCAAACCACAAGGAAATGTGGCGCTCACCTCCCGCTATTTGTGACTGCCAAGCGCGGCTCTTCTGAGATCGCCTTTTTTTTACTCCAGGGAACGCAGCGCGCTCCTGGGGGTTGCACCTTCTCAATTCTAACGTGTTTTCGTGTTCTTGTTCGTGTGTTCTTGTTGGTGTTTTCGTGTTCTTGTTCGTGTGTTCTTGTTCGTGTGTTCTTGTTCGTGTGTTCTTGTTCGTGTGTTCTTGTTCTTGTTTTCGTGTTCTTGTTTTCGTGTTCTTGTTCGTGTGTTCTTGTTCGTGTTTTCGTGTTTTCGTGTTCTTGTTTTCGTGTTCTTGTTTTCGTGTGTTCTTGTTGGTGTTTTCGTGTTCTTGTTTTCGTGTTCTTGTTCGTGTGTTCTTGTTCGTGTTTTCGTGTTCTTGTTCGTGTGTTCTTGTTCTTGTTTTCGTGTTCTTGTTCGTGTGTTCTTGTTTTCGTGTTCTTGTTCGTGTGTTCTTGTTGGTGTTTTCGTGTTCTTGTTTTCGTGTTCTTGGTGTTTTTGTTGGTGTTTTCGTGTTCTTGTTCTTGTTTTCGTGTTCTTGTTTTCGTGTTCTTGTTCGTGTGTTCTTGTTCTTGTTTTCGTGTTCTTGTTTGTGTTTTCGTGTTCTTGTTTTCGTGTTCTTGTTTTCGTGTTCTTGTTTGTGTTTTCGTGTTTTCGTGTTCTTGTTTGTGTTTTCGTGTTTTCGTGTTCTTGTTCGTGTGTTCTTGTTCGTGTTTTCGTGTTTTCGTGTTCTTGTTCTTGTTTTCGTGTTCTTGTTTTCGTGTTCTTGTTCTTGTTCGTGTGTTCTTGTTCGTGTTTTCGTGTTTTCGTTCTTGTTTTCGTGTTCTTGTTTTCGTGTTCTTGTTCTTGTTCGTGTGTTCTTGTTCGTGTTTTCGTGTTCTTGTTTTCGTGTTCTTGTTTTCGTGTTCTTGTTCGTGTTTTTGTGTTCGTGTGTTCTTGTTGGTGTTTTCGTGTTCTTGTTTTCGTGTTCTTGTTCGTGTGTTCTTGTTCGTGTGTTCTTGTTGGTGTTTTCGTGTTCTTGTGTTCTTGTTCGTGTGTTCTTGTTGGTGTTTTCGTGTTCTTGTTTTCGTGTTATTGTTCGTGTTTTTGTGTTTTTGTTTGTTGTGGTTGCACCTGATTCAAGAGACGAATGGCTCACAGGGCTATACCAAAATAAATAAACTGAAAACTGAAACACTCAACCCAACAACAACCCCCCCCTCCCCATCCCATACACACACACACTTTGACAAAACGTGACAGGGAGGATTGTTTTGTTCGCAGCGAGGTATAAAACGGTGGGCGAGTGCAAGATGCCGCTTCGACAACACCGACGAGGCGGGACTACACTCCCCTGACCCGTCCCAGAGCGTTTCATTCCAGACCAATACTCTCAAAACATTAGAGGTCACCTCCTCTTCCTCCTCCTCTCAGTAAAGTGCCCTGGACCTCGGGCGAAATGCGTTCGGTTCCGTTTCAACTTTCCTATTCACTTTCCTGTTTGTGTTCAGATTCATTTTTCCTATTGACGTTCCTATTAATGTTCCTATTCATGTCCCTGTCCATTTTCTTATTCGCGTTTCTATTCGTTTTCCGATTCACTTTCACGTTAATTTTCCTATTCACGTTCCTGGTCACTTTCCTATTCACGCTCCTATTCACGTTCCTGTTCATGTCTGTCCCTATCCATTTTCTTATTCACTTTCCTATTCACTTTCCTATTCACTTTCCTATTCACTTTCCTATTCCCTACCCTATTCGCTTTCCCTCTTCACTGTCCCCATTCGTTCGTTCTATTCAGTTTCTGTGAATGACCCGAGCACTGGGGGGGGGGGGGAGGGGTGGGGGGCTTGTCACGTGCTCCCCTCGCTGCAGCTCCATCTCGCCTCTTGCACGCGACGACTCCAGCAAACGTAGCGGACGTTACGGACACATCGCTGCGTTGCCACTATATACACACGCACACACGTGTATATTTTATATCTTTTTTTCTTTTAAAGATTACGCTCAAGAAACCGTATCGCAGAATCTAGCTAATCGTTGCACGGTGAGGTAAACGAGCTGGGACATATATTAAGAATAGAAATATATTTATTTTTAAAAAATATATAATATATAATGTATATGTTCTAACTAGTTTTCTTGAGCTTAATTTAACTTTTGAACG